TTTTATGTCTTAAATATACATAATATTGTGATTTGGACCCTCTATCATTTTTTGTCATTGTCAGAGTATTAATAAAAAACTCAAAAGATTATCAACCTATATAAAGTCATCACTGAACAACTTTGTCATATTTAGAAATCAGGAGATTCAGAATGTAATTTGATTTATTTTCATGGTATAATTTATTATGTGAGAAGTAAGCACAGGCCCCTGAATGGGAGCACTAGGAGGAATGAGAGCATCTTCTTCATGATGTCAGATCCTTTCTGAAAAACACAGTGTGGTATCGGGGTGGGCAGTGTGTGGACCTGGAGGCTCGCACGTGCTAGACAAGACCTGCACCACTGAGTTCCATCCCCAGCTGCAACCATACTGTATGTCGTTTCCCAAACTGTCCTCTTCTAGAACAGTACCTCCTTCCCACACTGATCCACCTGGGTTGCTAATGTTTTCATCTCCTGTAGCGGCTGTCACCGTTTGGGAGACAAGAGTCACTGCAGGCAAGAATCATGGATGGATGGTGAAGATCCTGGTTGAGACTGTGTTCAGAGTATCTCCATGGTCTCAAAGCCTTTTCCTACAAGATGAGTGTCAAGGGCAGAGGTAGAAATGGTAGCCTTGGAGTGGGGACCACTAGCAGGCACAACCCTAGCCAAGCAGTGAGGGTGAGCCCTGGACACTGTAAGCTCCTGTAAGATGCTTGGAGGGGGCATCTGTTACTTGCCAGATGCACAGGCTGGCTTGAGTCCCAAGGAAACATCAGGCAAAGTGAGTCTGAGGGTGATCGCAAACCAAGTGGTCAGTGTTTCCAAGTGTCCTGAGAGAGACAAACTGGCCCAGACTAGACAGGATAACTACATACAACATGGGACCCTGGGCCAAGAAAAGGACATTAGTGATGTCAGCCGGCAAAATTTGACTCAGATTAGCTATAGATTACTTGATGAATTGTGTGTCAGCAGGTCATGTCCTGACTGCAGTCATTGAGCGGACATTCTGTAAGTCAGTTACCTGTGGGGAGGTGTGTGCAGGAATTCCTTACACTCTTCTTGGAATGTTTTGTAAGTTTGAAAGTATTTACAGATGAAGTGGAGCAGCAAGAAAATGAGCCCAGCTCAGCTGAGAAGTATGGGCTGGGCACACAGGCTTTGCCACAGCCCTCTTTGCCCGGAAACTTCTTTTCTTTGTTCCTTGAGTCCCCGTAGCCTCCAGGCTTGCTGAGGTTCTAGGTCAGGGATCCTGGGATCCGTGAGGCATGGCTGCATTGAGTTGCAACTGTATGTCGACAAGGTTTTGTTTAATTAATTAATGAACTTACTTATTTTTGTACAGAGCTGTAATTACATCTTGGGGTGTCCCATGGCTGGGCTGGTTATTTGAGCTTTCCCATTGCAGCTACCAGAATCCTTAGCTGGAAACATAGCCCTGTAATTAGTTTGCTGGTTGTTTCTGTTTTTATTATGCTATTTTGAATTCAGGTTAGTCCTTGGATTCTTCTGCAATGTGTCATATGTGTTCAGTTTTGTATCTGTTAGTGGCCTCTTAGGAAGAGTTGATCTTTTAAAGACAGAATTTTTTAAGATGGAGTATGTTATTTAAACTTGAAGTATTGTACTAGATATATTTTTCTGCTTTGTGTTCAGAAAAGACAATTCAGAATTTTCGTGTACATGATGAATAGTGAACTTACTGGCCCTAAATACCCTGGGAGCCTTGTGGTAGGTGATAATTAGAATGGGAAGAATTAATCTATCAGGAAACGCTGCTTTTGCCAGGGGCGATGGTTAATGTGGGGCTCGTGGGCTCTCAAGTTCAGGCAGTTTTTCAAATTTTATTTGGATAGGATTCCTCTATTAAACCTCACCCACCCACGGCTCAGAGACCATTGTGGAAGAGGGGGGCCAAGAGATTGTAAGAGCCAGGGTTGGTCCATGAACATAGGGAAACAGGCTTTCGGGCCACTGGAAGCTTGCTCATGTGAACTTGTGGCAGTGATGGCATCAAGCACAAGACCCATGTCAACTCAATCAGACAAGAGCCCAGAGTGGTGTGAGGGAAATGGGCGGTGGGTCGGCTGTAGCCGGAGAAGTGTTAGAGACTGATTACTGGTAGGTAGGGAAAGGGACCTTCCTTAAGATCTCTAGACAGGCTGACTAGACTCCAGTGGATGAACTTGCACTGAAGGACATCTGGGTAAAATGCTTGACTGGATGAGACTTGACATGTATGGCAAAATCCATGAGGCCTGGTTGTGGGGTGTGTGGGGACATGGATGGGGGAAGGGGTCTGAAGCTCATTAAGAACTGTCTATGAAATGTACAACCACTCAGTAAAAATGTTTAAATTTTGTATTGAATTTTTTGAATTTCAAATTTTATACAACACATTTTGATTATATATTTCAATCCTATCCTGGGTCTGCCCCATCTTTCTAACCCCCACCAAATTTCTATAATGTGTATATATACACATAAACATGTATATTTATGCCTATAATGCCAGGTTTGTGTCCCCAAATGTCCTTTGGTGTGGGTTAATCCACTGGAGCCTAAGTCCAGGGTATTTTGACCTGATGGGACAGGGGTGAACATGGACTTGGGAGGCAGAAGATCTTGTTTCACACCCTAAATCCATGACTACATTAGATGGTCCTTTAACTTTCCTGAGCCTTGAATTTCTCAGCTGTAAGTCTGGACTCATGAACACATCCGTGAAGTTGTTGTGAGCATCAAAGAAGTGATATGCAGTGTCCCTGGCCTTCAAGCATCTCAAATGATGCCTGGGTTATTAACTAAGCTAGCCACGATGGAGGAGAATCGGCTTTGCTTACAAAGACCTTTAATAATGGTAATATGGATCAGTGACTTGCAGTATAGAGCATAAGGTTTTAAGCTTTTTTATATTTATTTATTGTGTGTGTGTGTTTGTGCACATGTGCACGAATGTGTGTGTGGAGGTCAGGGGACAGCTTGTGGAAGTTGGGTCTCTTCTACCTTATGGGTCCTAGAGATCAAACTTAGGTTGTCAGGCTCAGCACACCCGTCTTTACCCACTGAGCCATCTCGTAGGGGCAGGGCTTTTTGTCAGGAAGTTTTCCATGTCATCTTATTCCAGAGAAATGATGTTCTTTAATAACTCAGCCATATTGGATGTGCTAGCCATCTACCAGACACTTGTCACTCTTTGCCAGACATTTAGTGTCCTCATGTTAAGTCATAAATAAATATGAGATTTCTTTTGGAAGAAAATCTTGTAAGATCTTAGGGACAGAAGGTGTTGAGACTACTGGAGGCAGATGGGGCAGCGGCTTAGATGTACTGTTTACTCTCAAGCTTAGGCTGGAGTTGGAGTTTCGATCCTCTGAGAAGGACCAGTTTATGACTGTTGTTTCACTCTAGAATCAAAAGGACTTTTAAGCCAGGCGTGGCGGCTCCTGCCTATAGCATCAGTGCTTGGGAGACTGAGGCAGGAGCGCTGCAGATTTGAGGTCAGCCTGAGCTGCACAGTAAATTCTAGGCTAGCCTGGGGATAGTGAAACCTTGTTTTAAAACAAACAAAAGCAACAAAAAAGTACGCTCTTCTATCCTTAAATTGTCTGGTTTTGTTCTGTCATTATGTAAGTCAACATTGCTATAATTAGGAATTCTGCACTGAAGTGTTTAGGGCTGAAGGGGCATGTCTGCTCTTAAGTGGTTCAGGAAAAAATAAATATGCAAGTGTGTAGTTATGTCTGTGGAGAGGGAGGAAATGAAAGCCGAGCAGCTGAGTTAGCAAACGGTGATTTGGGTGAAGGGTCTGCGGGCTCTTTGTTGGCCATGTGCACTCAGTCACCTTCCTAGACTGTGGGGAGATGGAAGTCCTAGACTGTGGGGAGATGGAAGACTGTGATTTGGGTGAAGGGTCTGCGGGTTCTTTGTTGGCCATGTGCACTCAGTCACCTTCCTAGACTGTGGGGAGATGGAAGTCTGTGGTGGTTTCAGACAGTCTCAAAGTGCTGGGGCGAGTGTAGAGGAGAGACGACAAGCTAGCTGACCCTTACTTTCCTCTTTTGTCCTTAGCTAGAGCAGAAGTCCTGAAGGATAGAAAGAGCTGCTTCTATGGGATTGAGCTGTGACTTTGCAAACACTTAGGGCAGGACTTGTGGTGAAATCAGATGACGTGGGTGGATGGTGGTTGAGACAGAATTTTACTGTGTAGCCCAGGCTGGCCTAACCTCCTGAGTATAGCTGGGAGTACAGGTGTGTGCCGCTGTACCTGGCTCAGAAGTAAAGCTGTTTGTTTTGTTTTGTTTTGTTTTGTTTTGTTTTTTAATGTCTTTCTGAGACAGGGTTTCCCTGTAGCCTGGGCTGGCCAGGAACTCATTATGTAGACTAGGCTGCCTTCCAGCTCACAGAGATCTGCCTCCTGAGTGCTGGGATGAAAGGCATGTACCACCATACCCAGCTAGAAGCAAAGTTTTTAAAAGGATTATTTATGTCATATACAAGGATGAGCAAAAATGCAAAAGGCAGAAATATTAGGACTGAAATTTATCCAGTCTTTAGACACTCTTCTGTTCAAGTCACAAGTTAGTTTCCTATAATTAGTACTCTGCCCTAAGTGAGATACTAATTCTTCTTTTACTTACTGTTTGGTTTCAAAGGTCATGTTTGCCTTCTCTTTTCTTTTCCCTATCCCCTTCCCTTTTACTTCCTTCCTCCCTTCTCCTCCTCTTCCTCCTCTTCTTTTTTTCCCTTTGAGATAAGATCTCATGTAGCCCAGGCTAGCCTTGAATTTGCTATGTAGCTCAGAGTAGCCTTAAACTCCTGATGTTCCTGCCTCCGTCTCCTAAGTGCTAAGGTTATAGGTGTGTGCACCTGGCTAATACTTTGTTTTATCACAAATTTACAGCATGTTTATTAGCCTGTACTTTTCAAGATGAATTTTCTAGACTAATTTTCTGTTCTAACTCTTGTCCCTTTTCTTTCCTGTCCACGGTGACGTGTCTCTTGGGACCTCAGGGGCCAGCCTAAGGTAAGAGATTTGGTTTCTCACATGATGCTTGTAAAAGTGCATAATGCATTCTTGAAGTACTGGACATTTTCTTCTCAAAACTGAAAATGCTTTCTCACTGCTAGTTTTTAAAATCAGTACAAGCTGTTGGCCTTCTCACAACTCCAAAACCACTTACTGGCACAGGAGGAGCTGGAGGTCTGTGGAAAGCTGTACTCTCTGCCCAACTCTGTCCAGTCTCCTAGCAACACAACATGGGTTTCTGTGTGCCAGTCTAAAACTGGTAGTTCCAAACTGTGGTCACCTCATGCTTGGCTGACACTTCCTGGCCAGCTTGGGACACTTTGCCAGGCCCATGGGGTCTGGAGGGCTCACCTTCCTTCAGGGACTGTGCTCTAATCTCAGATTGGAGCCAATTCTGAGACAACTTTTTAAAAAATTAAATTATATTTTATTGATTTTGTGTGTGTGTGTGTGTGGACATGCATGCCACTATACACATATGGAGGTTAGAGGACAATTCTCCTTTCCATGTGAATCCCAGAGATCAAACTCAGGTTGTCAGACGTGGCCGCCTCTCCCTGCTGAGCCATCTTGCCAGCCCATGAGAGACTTCTGGGGGAGTCAGCTCCTCTGTCTCCAAGGGTCTCTTAGGTGTAGCACAAGGTCTATGTTTTTAACTTGACTATTCTCTGAAGTTACTTAGAACTTCCAGGAAATTCAGTTTATCGACGTTCTTGGGGCTTGTTTTTGTTTTAGAGCTTGTGGCTGAATTGTAATTTTACTCTCTGTTATTGTTGCTAAAATATGTGTAGACATGCCATTTGGATGAAAGTGACTCTTGTTTGTTGTTTTTGAAACCTTACTTCATTTTTCCTATGAGAAGGTGCTGGGTTGTTTTTGTTTTTTGTTGGAGCAGAAGCCAGAGATCCAGTAAAGACATGAGGAAACCACGACATTTTAAAACTGCCCATGTTTTTATTTAATGAATGGTTCCCAGTGTTTAGAGAAAGTGCCATGCAGACTGAAAAATCTGGAGGGAGAAACCCACATCATTAATGAAGCCCTCCTCTGGGGAGAGAGGAGTATTTGGCAAGTGGGAGACCTCCGTTTATCTAGTTTTAGGCTTATGTGTGTGTGTGTGTGTGTGTGTGTGTGTGTGTGTGTGTGTGTGTGTGTGTGTGTGTTGGGGTGCTCATGCAAAGAAGTCAGAGGACCACTTTCAAGAGTTGGTCCTTTCCTACCATTTGGGCCCCAGGGATCAAACTCAGGTTGTTAGGCTTGGTGACAAGCACCTTTACCCTCTGAGCCATCTTGCTGGCCCTGTTTTTTATCTTACTTTATATTTCTGTTTTGAATTTGTTAGTATGAATGTGTATTTCTTCTCATTTCTTCTCTATTCATTGAAATTTTTTTAAATTTGAAGAACTGACATTAAATTAGAAAGGCAGGAACAAGGGTGGGTGAGGGGTCAAAATTTTAAGGTGTATGTATGAAATGACATGTATGAAAATGCCATCATGAAACCCATTACTCTGCTAACTTAAATAATTTCCAATCAAAAAGATCGAAAAAAATAGGTCAAAATCAAGGACTATTAGAGTATTTGTTCCTTACCATGGAGAGCCCTAAAAAGATGGAAACCACTCAAATAAAAGGCTTGTTCAATCCAAAACCCAACTTCCCACCCAACTTTAGTAAGCAAATATAATTTATTTGCTTGCTTGCTTATTAGAGATCAAGCCTGTCACCTTTTGTACATGTTAGACAAGTGCTCTACCACCGAGGTACACCTAAAGCCCATTCTTATTTAATACATTGTTTTAGAAGGAAGCAAAGCATATTCATTAGTTAGAGAAACAAACAAGTTCTTGAAACCAGTGTCCACTACATCGTATTTGAAAAAGGAGTCAAGGTTCAAAGTCGTAAGAAAATACTAGCTGTGTAAAAGAGCTAAGTTATCACGACTTGTTTGACAATAATTTGTATAAAATACTCGTTAATTTGGGTCTGTAACTGGAGTATTCATGAATAAAGTGTGATTATCACCTGCCTTTATGAAGTTTTTGGCTAGAAGATATCTGTAGTAATTTACAGAATTGCTAAAACTTACAGGGAGTCATGTAGTGTTTTTAGTAAGTTAAAATGAAGCGTACGTTAGTCTGAAACCTTGTGTGCAGCTGGGTCACTGCCGTGCACAGGAGTCCCTGCTTCTCTTGATTTCAGTTACGCTAAGTCAATGGTAGCAAATTTAGTAGATATTTTAGGAACACAGAGGAGGAAAGGGAGAGAGAGAAGGAGAGAGAGAATTATTGCAAGACCTGCCTCAAGAAAACCAACCGAACAAGAAGCTATTTTATAACCACATATATGTCATAGCCATTATAGTACGCATATTGTTTAACAGAGTTTCTTTAAATGTGTTTTAAAGATTTATTTTTATTTATGTGTATATGTGTGCCTGTCAGTGCCCACAGAGACCATCTGATTCCTGGAGCTGGAGTCCCAGGTGATTGTGAACCACCTCGTATGGGTACTGGGAACTGAACTTGGGTCTTCTGAAAGAGCAACAAGTGCTCTTAACTGCTGAGCCATCATCGCTCCTGCACCACAAACTTCCTTTTTTATTTAACGTTGCAAATAGTTTTGCCTGTAAATGCAGATCTGTATCATAGAGAGGGTACTAAGCTGTCTTTGTAAGATTACATACATAACTGTGTGACAGCAAGTTTTGTTGTTTATCTGGGGAGTAGGGAGGTTCAAGCATGATCACCATGTAGCCCAGGCTGACCTGAAACTTGGGTATCTTCTTGCCCCAGTCTCTCAGCTGCCGGGAGTACAGCCCTGTGCCATCAGGGCTGACTAGCAAATTGGTTAACAGGTCTTCCAGTGCTGTGACATTGTCATTACATCATGTGACTGTTGAGGCTCTCTTCTTCAAACACTTTTATTGTGTTTCCTTTCCAACAGGTGTTTGCTTATGATCACTGTTTCTGGTCCATGGATGAATCTGTTCGAGAGAAGTATGCAGGTAACTGAGCCCAGCACTTAGTATGGCAGAGACATTCTGGTATGTTCTGTACCCACTGCTATAGAATCACTTGGTATAACCTTTTTTTTTTTTTTTAACTTTTTTTTAACTTTTATTTATTATTTTATTTTATGTGTATGTGTGTATTGCCTGCATGTAGGTAAGTGGACCCATGTCACACAATGCCTGTGGAGGTCAGAAGAGGCTGTTGAATCCCCTGGGACTGGAGTTACGGACAGTTGTTAGCTGCCATGTGGGTGCTGGGATTTGAACCCGGGTCTTCTGCAAGAACAACCAGTGTTCTTAACCGCTGAGCCATCTCTCCAGCCCCCAATTTCGTATAACTTTTAAATGATGTCAGGTGACTGCCTCCAGTATTTGCTGTTAAAGTCTTTGACAGACTTCAGTGTGGTTTCTTAGCGTGATGATAAAACTGTATGATTATGGGATCTCACAGAAGTTGTCTGGCGCACATCTCCACAGCACTAGGAGCTACATGGCAGGCATGCAGCTTCCCTATGAGGCCTGTGACAAGTCTAGAGAGACCTCAGGTACAAGGAGGGAGGGAAGCCTACACTGCAATCCAGGTTGTCTCCCCAGAGCCTCTGTGATGCTTGTTAAATCCCCAGGCCTGCTAGTGCTCCCACTGCCCCACTGTGACAGAGAAGTTACCACATCCCTCGCCTTCCGCCTCCCTCCTAACAGCAGCTTTTCTCACCCTATCTCGCCACAGTTGGGATTGTGGCCCCGCCTTTTCTGCTCGCTGTTTTCCGAGTGCTGGTGTCACCTGCTTCTAAGCAATGTCTTTCACACATTGAGCATAATATTTTATTGGCTTCTATTATGAGAAAGATTGATACTGTGGTTAATAAAAAGATTAGGATGGCTTTGGTTTCACTGGCAGAGCAGTGACTCTAAGGATCACTCCCAGTTCGCAAGAGTGATAACTGGTAAATGGCCTAGGAAGGGAGGCGTGCAGAGTGCTTTTGTTCAGGCAGCAGCATTCTGTCCTTCCATATGATGAGAAGACTCAGTGAGTTTGGACTACTTGAAGCTGAAGGAGATTCCCAGGGTCTTCCTTATCTTAACTGTTATGAATTCTAGGTCATGTTACTTGACATTTTCATTAAGGAAAAAGAAGGGGGGATTCCCATGTATGATTTTTCTGAATTTCAATACACTTTGAATAAAAGTATGGTATGTAGTTAAATGTAGGCACATCTAGGTTCCAAGTATGAATTTCAGGCATTTAGGGCCATCAAGATGACTTGGCTGATAAAGGCACTTGTCACCAAGCCCAATGACCTGAGTTTAAGCCCCAGGATGCACATGATAGAAGGAGAGAACGCCCAAAAATTGTTCTCTGGTCACCACATGTATGACAACGCATGTGCACACATGCATGAACACATACACACATGCTAAATAGAAAATGTAATTGAAAAACTTTCCAGACATTTGTAATCATTGTATAAATAAGCAATTCTGGGGTTCTCTGTTGCGTTGCTCTGTGTCCCTTTGTTTAGGTGTGTGTTACAGGGAACCCGTTACTGACTTGTCCTCCTGTTCTAATTACTCGAAGAACAGAAACTCCTGGAAGCATTCGTCAAGCTTAAAAATCTTGTTTGGAGCTGGGTGGGGTGGTGCACGCTTTTAATCCCAGCCTTTGGGAGGCCGAGGCAGGCTGATCTCTGAATTCAGGCCAGCTTGGTCCACGTAGGAAGTTCAGAATAGCCAGTGCTGCTTAGTGAGATCCTGTCTCAAAAAAATAAACCTGTGTTGGGTATGATGGCGCACGCCTTTAATCCCAGCACTTGGGAGACAGAGACAGGCGGATCTCTGTGAGTTCAAGGCCAGCCTGGTCTACATAGTGAGTTCTAGGACAGCTGGGGCTACAGGGAGACCCTGTCTCAAAAAGACCAAAAAAAAAACAAACAAACAAACAAACAAAAAAAAAACCCAAAACAAGCAAACATAAATATAGAGGTAAAATAAATGGATTGTAATTTCTTTTGAGATTTTTGTGTTTTTGTTTGATTTTGGGTCATTCATGTGGTTTTGTCTGAAAATGCCATTTCTCTTCTTTCAGGTCAAGACGATGTCTTCAGGTGCCTTGGGGAGAACATCCTCCAGAATGCCTTCGATGGCTACAATGCCTGTATCTTTGCCTATGGACAGACAGGTAGCGTGAAATAACGTGCACTCATGTCAGCATGCATCTGTGGGGGAGAGAGAATCTGGAAGCCTGTTTGGCAGGTCACATCGCTCGTTTATCCTTCATTGTTTTCCCTCACAGGAAGTACTATAGGCAGTAGGATGTTTTTAAAATGAGTGCAATAAAATTAGAATCTTTTGTTTCTTTACTTTTATGTGTATGAGTGTATTGTCTACAGACATATAAGTGCACCTGTGTTGTGCAATGACTCTGGAGGTCAGAAGAAGCTGTCAGATAGAACTGGACTTATGTATGGTTGTTAGCTGCCATGTGGGTGCTGGGAATCGAACCTGGATCCTTTGCAAGAGCAGCAGTACTCTTAGCCACTGAGCCATCTCTCCAGCCCAGACAATTGAGCTTATTATTAGTCATACCTGTCGACCACCATGCTTTAAGAACCCTGTGAGAGGGTATCAGAAAGCACACATTTTAACATCCCACTGGTCACAGTTGATAAGGAGTTTTAGGTTTCTATAGGTTTGTCATCAAGGAAAGAGAATCCATTTAATGTGAACTAGTGGCTTTTATAAAGGTTTATTGTGTGGCCTGTCCAACTGGAAAGTGCTTTTCACAGTGTTTACGATGGCTTCAAACATTATGTATTATGCCCAAAAGGGCAAAGCTCCGAGCCAGGCTGTGCCAGCCCCACTCCAGTCCCCGTCTCTTGCCAGTTGGGACTCTGCCACACTATTTCCTCATTGTAAAATGTTGATAATTACAGACCTTTGCTGCAGGATTACCATAATTAATTACCTTGTACACACAGGAAAGGCCTGGACCGTCAGAAGTAGAACATTAATTTTAGGTGATGTGACAAAGATGAGTCTCCAGGGTTACAGTGGTGAACCCCTTTAATCCCAGCACTTGGGAGACAGAGGCAGGTGGATCTTTGACCCAGGCTAGCCTGGTTTACATAGTGACTTCCGTGCCTGCTAGGGCCATAGGGAGACCCTGTATCAAAAAACTAAAAACAAAAACAGAAAACCCCAAACAATAAAGAAAGCACACAGACATGCCAGACTGTTGCCGCTGAAAGGGGACTGAGTTAAACTGGTGTCATCTGCTGTTCCAGCATGGTAGGATATGGTGATTGGACCTCTGTCTTTTTCCTTCCCTGTGCTTTTTGAATTTCCGATGTAGCCTGGGCTGGCTCAGAACTTGCTATGTAGATCAGGCTGGCCTCGAACTTGCTAGAGCTCTGTCTGCTTCTACCTCTTGAGTGCACCACAACACCAGACAGGGTCTTGATCTATAATGCAGCCTGGCTTTGAACTTGCGGTCCTCCTGCCTCAGCCTCTGAAGTGCTGGTATTACAAGTGTGTGCCATCTCATCTGGCTTCTGGTTATGGATTATTTAGAAAATTTAAAATCTTGCTGTTTTTTCAGGTGTTCTAGATAGTTTTTAAAATATGAAAGTGATTTAAATAAGTTTTTGTTTTTTGGTAGGGGGTTGGCTTTGAGTTGGCTTCTTTTGCCTCTGTCTCCTGTGTGCTTGGAGTAGAGGCCACCATGGCTGGCTATTTTTATTCCTAGAGCATGCTTGCTTTGGACTTACACATGAATACTAAGTGTCTGTTGTGTGCCAGTCTCATTAGGTTTGCATGCGTTTCTTACTATATTTTGTATATTTTGCTAAATACTAACAATTTATTATGAGCCTCGGAAAGAAGGTTAAATGCATTTAAAGGTCTCAAAGTGACAAATAATAATATAATAATGCCTGCTTTCCATTTTTCAGGGTCTGGAAAATCTTACACTATGATGGGCACAGCTGATCAACCTGGATTAATCCCAAGACTCTGCAGTGGGCTCTTTGAACGAACTCAGAAAGAGGAAAATGAAGAGCAGAGTTTTAAAGTTGAAGTGTCCTACATGGAAATTTATAATGAGAAAGTTCGCGATCTTCTTGATCCCAAAGGGTAAAAAGACTTGGGGTTGTAGCTTTCTGTAGTTTTGGCTTTGGAGCAATTTGTAATTGAACTCTAGTGGAGAATGATCTGGTTGTGGTGTTTGCCATTTAGGTTTTGTTACATGCGCAGCTTTGGGGCTTATTGGAGGCATTCAGAAGAGCAGGCGTGAGTATGAACCAGCCATGGACCTGGGCCATGCTGCTGCCCATTCTCACCTTGCCCAGAGCACAGATGAAGCAGTCATTTAGTGTCTGTGCTCTGTGTAGCCTTTTTTTTTTTAAGCCAATAAATTTCTGATGGCGCTCCTGCAATTGGCTTCCAGGGTGTGAAGCGAGAGAAATGCAAACTCAGAACTTTGAAACCTGGCCTTTAGGACAGTCAGTTGATCTTAAAGCTGCCCACCCCGACCCAGGGGGTGGGGGTGAAAAATGTCCAGGACTTTATGGCATTGACTTTGAAAGAGGACTGGCTTAAAGCATTAGAAGGTTTCAAAAGTGTGTGGCTGACCCCGCAGCCACTGAGCTGAACAAGGAGAGTGAGAGGTGGCCGAGGAAACCTGGCACAGTAGAGTTCCGAGGCTCAGGCTTTGAGGAGGAGCAACAGTGGAGAGAGAGGTAAAGACTCTTGCTGTTGTTCATGTGAAAACCACCTTAGTCAAGTCAGAGAGCCAGGCGGGTGGGCTTCTAGGAAGCCTGAAGGACCAAGAGGGGATAGTTATGTTTGAATAGGAAGATGATCCAGGAAAGATGATGTGAGAGACAGCGAATCCCAGTGAGGTTCAACGAAGAGCAAATAGATCTTCTCAGCACCTCACAGCTCCCGCTCCCTAGCTGAGAACATGATCGTCAGGCTATCAGCTGGAGCTTGTAGTGACACTTCATGTGTCTGTACAAACCTTGCCTGACAAATGTTTTATCAAGTGATCCTTACATGCCAGGTACCATGCAGTTCAGAGGAAGGGCTCGTGGTGTGGAGAGATGTTCTGTAAATAAGTCAGAGCACCATGGAGTCTGCTTTCCATTTGTGAGACAGGCTCACACAGAGCAGAGCCCAGAGAGGACTGCCTCTGCCCAGAGCAGAAGAGACTCCACAGAGGAGCCCAGTGTTCGGTGCTCACTAGGACTTTGTCCCCTGGGAAGTGTGGTGAGAGCCATTTGTGTGTAGGGCACAGCCTGTGTGGAGTGTGGAAGTGGCGGCCCGCCCATTTGCGGGATGATCAGCAGTTCGGCAGAGCCGGAGGATAGCGTGAGCGGAAATCAGGAGGCCAGACCCAGGTGGATGTGGCCGCGCATCCCTCCTTCTGCCTTCTATCCTTTTCTTGTACCTTGGTCTCTGTGAAGACGGCTGTTTTCTTTGAGATCCAGCTCAGATCTGCCATTTTGAAATGTCCAAGGTAGCCCAAACCCTGCTAGCTAGACATGTTCATAACCTTCGGTGACTTCTTGTTGGTCTTGCATGTGGCTTAGGAGTTAGAGCATGGGCTTTGGAGTCATGCAGCTACTGGTTGAACAACTTCCTTACACTTTCTAGGAGAATTACACAGGGGAACGATGTTATTACATGGTATCTCAGAGGGCTGTAGTCAAGATAGACTGGATGATACACCTGAGGTCTCAGGACATTTCCTGTATACAGTAAGTGCTCAACATATGCTAGCTTGTTGTTTTCACTCCATGAAATTTTCTTGAGAACTTAAAAATTTTTTTTTCAAATTAGCTTAAAAAGTGTGTGTGTGTGTGTGTGTCCCCGTCCGTCCATCTGTCTGTCCATCCATCCGGATGCCTGCCTGCCTGTGGAGGTCAGAAGGTATTGGATTCCCTGGAGTTGTGGATACAGGCCATCAGCCACCTGATGTGGGTGCTGGGAACTGAACTCCAGTCTTCTGCAAGAGCAGCAAGTGCTTTTTAACTGCTGTGACATCTTTCCAGCTCCTAAAACTGTTCCCTTTCCTGAAAAGTCAAAGTAAGTGGGTTGAAAGTTTTAAATGAGATCTCATTTTAACCAAAAAGTGTTTGAGAAAACTTCATTTAAAAAATTCAAGTACTGATTTTAATAATTCAGTATCTATCATGTATAGTAATGTAATTATGTTGTTTCACTTAGGGCATAATATAGTATACATTATCTTTAAGATAACAGGGCCCATAGGCTAGAGAGACACTCAGCAAGCAGTTAGGAGCACTGATTGCTCTTGCAGAGGACTCAGATTTGATTCCCAGCACCCACATGGCAGCTAACAACTGACTGTAAATCCAGTTCCAGGGGATCCATTGCCTTCTTGTGGCCTTCACAGGCATTATGTGCATGTGGTCCACTTACATACAGGCAAACACTCATAGGCATATAAATAAATACCTTTTAAAAAAGGTGCATACTGTTTTTGCAGAAAATGCAGAAAACCTGTTTAGTTCCCAACACCCACATAAGGTGGCTTACAGTCACCTTTAATTCCAGCTCTGGATGATCTGGTTCCTTCTTCTGGAATCTGCAGACCCCTGCACTTACATGTGTGTGCACATACATACGAATACATACACTTAAAAAAAAATTCTGTAAAAAAGGGGGGATGTGCTCTGAGGAGCTAGCTCAATTGGTGCAACGCTTGCTGTGCATTCACGAGGATCTGAATTGAATCCCCAGAATTTGTGGTGGTTTGGGTTTATGATGTGGGCTAACATTGGGAGACAAGCAAAATCCCTGGAGCTTGCTGGCCAGCTAGCCTAGCCCAATAATTGGGTCCCATGGCCCAGCGAGAGACCATGTCTTAAAAATAAAGTGGCGAGAGCTGGGCATGGTGGTGCACACCTTTAATCCCAGCACTGGGGAGGCAGAGGCAGGTAGATCTCTGTGAGTTCAAGGCCAGCCTGGTCTACATAGTGAGTTCCAGGACAGCTGGGGCTACAGGAAGACCCTGTCTCAAAAAGACCAAAAAAAAAAAAAGAAGAAAAAAAGAAAATAAAAAGGTGGAGAGCACCAGAGGAATGACACCTGAGACCATCCTATGACCTCCATATACACACACCTGCTCATACATACACTTGCATACAAACATGTACACACACCCATACCCATAGATACCCGTATACACACATAAAAAAGAAAAAGGATAAAAGTTAAAAGTAGACCATATCCTGGGGTGAGAGGTGAGCACTGGGCAGACTGTTCTGGGTCATACAGTGAGAAATGACTGCTTGGTATCACCTGTAGTCGTGTGGTAATATGTGACATTGTAGGTTGGTCTTGGGATGCTGGAAGATTCCAGCTCATTAGGACATGTTAACTGCAGTCCATATTCTAGAAGGCTGAGCATCTTGGATTGGAGCCATTCCCTGGCTCCTGCCCTGCCGCCACACGACAGGGTGCCCTCTCCTAATCATTACCCACAGTCCCTCTGCTTGCTTCCTTATCATGGACGCTAGTGGTGGGTGTGGTTTCAGTTCCTGTGTGATTGTCTGTCCTGTGTGGTCTTCACCACTGTTCCTTCCGTTCTCCTCTTGCCTTGTTTTGTTGCCTGTGCTCTGTCTCCAAATTCTGTAAGCCAAGCTCTTTCATCACCCTTTGCCTTTCTGGTTTCTTAGCCAAGTTTGTTTATTCCTGATTGACTCTTCGGTGCCAGGGAGTGTGTTGGGAACTGCAGACTCCCAAACTACTATTTATTTAGTTTTTATTTTATGGGTATGAGTGTACTGCCTGTGTGTATATAACTGCACCCGTGTTGTGCAATGCCCGTAGTGGTCAGAAGAGGGTGTTGGATCCCCTGGAACTGGAGCTACAGATGGTTGTTAGCCACTATGTGGATTTGAACCCGAGTCATGTGCAAGAGCAGTCAGTGCTCTTAACCACTGAGCCATCTCTCCAGCCCCCCAAACTATTATTAATACAAGACATTGCTCTTGTTCTGGAGCCCAGAGTCTTTTAAAGAGCAGATATCTGCAAATTCATTCTGACCTCTGGAGAGTTTGAGAGGAGACTAGGCAAGAAAAGGTTAGCAAGGAGTCCAGATGTCAGGGTGAGGTGCATGCACCTTACTGTGTAGACACCAAAGAATGACCACAGAATTTTAAGCATTCTAACTCATTATTTATTTTATAATTTTTAAAAGTACTTTATTATTTTATGTGTATGAGTGTATTGCCAGCATTTGTATAAGTGCACCTGGGCCATGCAATGCCTTTGGAGGCCAGAAGAGGGCTTTGGATCCCCTGGAACTGGAGTTATGGATGGTTATTAGCCATCATATGGGTGCTGGGAATCAAACCCACGTCCTCTGGAAGAGCAGTCAGTGCTCTTAACCACTGACCCAACTCTCTAGTCCCGTTCATTATTTATTTTGAAAAGACAGTATTCTTCTGCACCCAGATGCAGCCATGGTGGAAAAAGAACAGGATTACTTGGAATCTCACTGTTAGTAATGAATATTCATTTTTGTAATTTTAATGGGCAAGTAATAATTATATCTATGGTAATTATATCTATGGAGTGTAGTGGGATATTATGTTACTGTGGTGTGACTTCCTCAGTCTAATTGATATATCTATTGTCTCAGTTGTCTTTTTTTTTTTTTTTTTTTTTGGTGTAATGTGAATACTTGAAAACCTATGCCCAGCAATTTTGAAGTATATTACATTATCACTAACTGTAGTCAGCATCCTGTTGTTAGATCTCAAGAACTTATTCCTGCTGGCTGAAACTTGGTGTGCTTCGGCAAGCATCTGGACACATGCTCTTTGTGTTTCCTGGCTTAAAGCATTACGAGTGCTACGAACACTCTAGGTTTCTGGCACGTGCCCTCTACTTGGTTTGCCAGTTCAGTGCGTGATGGGAGGTTTATTCATTTTAGAACAACAAACGAGCATTTAATTTTCATTTATCGAATCCTTTTTTGTGCACTTGCTACAATGATCACATTTTCCTGCTCTTACTCTCTTTAGTGTATCAGTGTGATAAAGTGTGTGGATTTTTCCTCTCAATGTTAAAACAACCAGACAAGCCTTCCATAAGCCCAGCATTGTGTTTTTTAAATTGCTATTAGAGTCATTTGTTGTCTCTGTTCATGACTGAGCTGGGGCTGTGTTCTTTTTCCTTCCTCGCAGTTAACATTTGTTGAGCTTCTGTCTGAGGGCTGCGCTCTATGACGGCACAAGGAGATTTGTTCGTGTTTATCTGACTCGGCATTCTTTCTGGGAGTAAATAGACATCCCATAGCTTACTCTTTTGTGTCATGTGATATTTTACCACATTATGAAATTTTTCTTCCCAGCAAAGATTTTAAAGTTAGATTTAAATTCTTGAGCGAGCAAGTCAGTTGTTCTTATTTATTTGGGGGTTGTTCTTGAAGTAAGTATGTATTCCTTTTAAAAACAGGCTATTGTTAAAAGATTGTTCTCTGTTGTGAATAGAAGCCGTCAAACGTTGAAAGTTAGAGAGCACAGTGTGTTGGGACCCTATGTGGATGGACTTTCAAAGCTGGCGGTCACAAGCTACAAGGTAACAGTACCCTTTATGTGAGCTACTCAAATTTAGTGTAGTTTGGCTTTTTTGGCTTATTATTTCTTAAAATTAAATTTACAATAGTATCACTTAGTAAATGACTTTTTATAAAAAGGTCTTAAAAGCAAGATAGAGGCCAGTCAGTAAATGTCAGTTAATTACAGTGGAGCTTTTAAGTTAAGCCTTTGGGTTGTCAGACCTAATAGATCTAGAATTGGTTTAGAAAAGAGCTAGAAAATTGTTTTACCTACGGTGGTTGTTCTAGTTTGCTTTCAATTGCTGTGACAAAACACTCTGACCAATACCAACTTGGGGAGGAAAGGGTTTATTTGATATCTCCTGGGTCACAGTTCATCACTGAGGGGCCTAAGGTAGGAACTCAGGGCAGGAACCCAGAGGCAGGAGCTGAAGCACAGGCCATGGAGGAATGCTGCTTACTGGCTTGCTCCTCTGGTCTGTGCTTAGCCTGCTTTCTTATATAATACAGAACGACCTGCCCAGGGGTGGCACCACCCACGGTGGGCTGGGCCCTCCCACATCACTCAACAGTCAAGAAAATGCCCCACAGACATGACCACCGGCCAGTCCAATGGAAGCAATTCCCCAGTTGAGGCTCCCTCAACCCAGGTGTGTCAGGTTGACACTAAAGCTGGCCAGCACAGTGGTATTTTTCCATTCTGTTGTCTTCTTAAAACATTTTGCAGCTAATGATTTTATGTTGAGAGTTATTTGTTGTGTTGAAAATTTTCCTAAATATTGTTCTTTTTTGTTTATATAGCAAAAATAGAATATGTGATTTAAAAAATTTTCCGTATATGCTTGGCAGTTTAGGATTGTGTTTAACTACATTTGCCATAATAAGTATAAAAGGATTTTAGTTTCTGCAGTATGGATTATTATGTGGTGTGATTATCATGCATCCTTGGTGTCCAGAAGTACCTGTCTTGTGGTAGATGCTTTCAACATTCAATGATCAAAGATGGCAGCCCTCCAAACAAGGCTTTTATACGAAGCCTGAAATAGGTGCTCCAAGGCTGGTATGATGGCTCCGAGCTGCCACTGGGGACCTTGATTCCTTCCCCACCCCGCAGAGAGACACTATAATGCCATGTTCTGCTAATGGCTCTTACAACAAAAATATGATGGCCTGCTTGCATCCATTAACCGGAATCACCCAGATGGTCTGTCACTCTTTAGTCATGTGATCAGGCTGAGCTGCAAGGGCATCTGGGAAATGAAGTCTCTTGGCTTTGCCACAGTAGGCTTTGTGAAAGATGTTGCTTCACCACAGAGAACACCCCAGCTAGTGGGAGACAGCTGGGGGAACTTTCATATACATCATCTTTGCTTCTCATTTCAAAACTCCTTGTAGTACTTTTCTATATATGTATATATATTATTTTTGTGTGAATTAGACCAAGGGCCTTGTGCATGCAGTGCTGTACTGCTGAGCTGCATTCTATGCCCAGTAGATGATGTTCTAGTTCCGTGTTGTTATTAATGAAGCTAAAATTCAAATACGTTCAGTGACTGATTTAGAGTTTATAATATTTCAAAAAATGAGCTAGCCCTGGTGGCATAGGCCGATAGTCCCAGCTCTTCAGGAGGCTGAGGCAGTAGGATGGGGAATTCAGGACTCACCTGGGCAACTTATTAGACCCTATGTCAAAAAAGTAAGAAGGTGGCTGTGGATGTAGCTCAGTGATGAACATTTGCCTGCACGTGTGAGGCCCTAGGTTCAGTTCCCAGTACTGCCAAAAGTAAAGATAAAATTAAAAACATTAATAGTAAATAAGCAAATCAGTGCAGAAAAGTAGTGGTGTCTTTATAGGACAGATTTGGTAAGGTAACAGTGTACATATGTGTAAGATGCTGGCACGAAGGTGCTACAAATCGTTTTTACTTTTTGCTTATTTGCATAATCTAATTTGTTTTAATAATAAACTTGCATTGCTTCTATAATTAAATGTACTGTTCTCAGAATTCTGAAGTAGATCAGTAGTGACATCCTTCTCATGTCACTTTGAAGTGGAGTTTCTAAGGCTGGCCACGCTACACCCCTGATTTAGTACTGTGGTGGGCAGAAGCAGGGGATCATGGTTGGAGGTCAGCCTAGGCTACATAGTGAGTTTGAGGCCAGCCTGGGCTACCTTGTAAGACCCTATTTTTAAAATAAAGGGAGGGGGGCTGGAGAGAGGCTCAGTGGTTAAGAGCACTGGCTGCTGTTGCAGAAGATCCAGGTTCAGTTCTCAGCCCCCACATGGCAGCTAACAACCGTCTGCAACTCCAGTTCCAGGGGATCCAACACCCTCTTCTGTCCTCCTCAGGCACTGCACGACGCAGGTGCACTACATACATTCAGGCATTGCACTCGTACACATAAAATACAAAATTTACTTCCGGCGGTGATGACCTCCCTACGAGAACATGCCTCTCGCAAAGGATCTCCTTCATCCCTCTCCAGAAGAGGAGAAGCGGAAACACAAGAAGAAGCGCCTGGTGCAGAGTCCCAATTCCTACTTCATGGATGTGAAATGCCCAGGATGCTATAAAATCACCACGGTCTTTAGCCATGCACAAACGGTAGTCTTATGTGTTGGCTGCTCCACTGTCCTCTGTCGGCCTACAGGCGGAAAAGCTCGGCTTACAGAAGGATGCTCCTTCAGGAGGAAGCAGCACTAAAAGAACCCTGAATGAAGATGAGGGAGAAAGCATCCCAATAAACACGTTTTGGATATATAAAAAAAAATACAAAATTAAAAAAAAAGAGAGGGAGAGGGGGAGGAAGAGGGAGAGGAAGACGGAGAGGGAGAGAGGGGCTAGAAGGTGTAGTTTATAAGCTTTCCTGTCTCAGAGCTACCACTTCCCTGTGTGCAGAACACAGTGTGCCTAGTTGCCCTTCAGGGACAGTGTTGGCTGTTGTATTCTGTTTAATGTTGGTTGACAAACAAAATGTAACCTCCAAAAGTTGTTGACTAAGTAGAGAAACATGTGATGTGTTTCGTGGCGTAGGAACGTTTTAATGTTTATAACATAAAGAATGAGATGCGTGCCTGTCACCTATTTGCACATAGGACATCGAGTCTCTGATGTCTGAGGGTAACAAGTCCCGGACAGTTGCTGCAACCAACATGAACGAGGAGAGCAGCCGGTCCCACGCAGTCTTCAAGATCACCCTCACGCACACTCTCCACGATGTGAAGTCTGGGGTAAGTGTTCCTGTTAGTCTCAAAAGGTCTCGCTGGATGTTAGCTGCATCGAAGGCCTTGCCTGTCTTGTCGGTCAGGGCTCTGGGGGAGAGGAACTAGAAGAGGGTGCACTGTGGGGAATTGGGGGGCAGCAGCGTTGTTGGGATACCTGCGAGGGACAACTCTAGGAGTCACTCCTAGAAGCACAAGGGACATTGCAAAGCCACGGCCATAAATAAATTGCTCTGCCACTACAACTGCCTCAGAGCACCCTGGAACCCTCAGATTTCAGGGCCTGCCTGCACGTAGAGAAAGCCCAAAGGAGCCGCTTTAATTCTGGTTTCCTGTCTTTAACAAGAGGGCCTCAGTGAACTTGTGTCGCATCCTGTGCAAAGGAGTCTTAGCACAGAGGCCTAGCCTCTGCCCTCTCCATCCAGAGGACAATTGGCCGAGGTTTTCCCAGACTCCAACCTGGCCTGTGTGGGTGGTGGTGCACCAGCAGATCTTACGGAGGTGCCTTTGCTGTGTTACCTTCTGCCAAAGAGCCAAGAGGACAAGAACTTCACCTGCACTTGGGAAAATGGACTATGGAACTCACTATGTAGACCAGGCTGGCCTTGCACTCACAGAGATCCACCTGCCTCTGCCTCCCGAGTGCTGGGACTAAAGGCGTGCGCCACCATGCCTGGTTGGTAGGATGTTTTTTGAGTGTCTGGTTGGAACCCTGTGAGGAGCCAGCAGAAAGAACAGGGCTCTGCCACATCGAGAGTGTATCTGTGGACTCATGGATGAGCCATCTCTCGCTTCGTAGGAAGTTTTACTTTGTTATGACGTCTGCCTCTCAGGCCTCAGTTTCCAAATGCCAGAAGCCTAAACATTGCCTGGCACAGTGCTCCCGGTGCAGTCCTCCGTTTCGGCAGTGCTTTCACGTGCTGAAGAGCAAGTTTGTTTTAATCACAGCAGGATTCATGTGAAAACAAAAAGTCCTTTGTTTTCTATTTCCTTTTTCGCAGAAAAACAACAAAACGAAAACCATGCTGAAGACCTTTTTTTTCTGACCAAAAGTACTTTTGATTTTGGAAGTGAATATCCTTTTGTTAGCAGTATGTTCATTTTATGGAAATATATCATTTTTTGGTGCTAAAAATAGAGCCCAGGGCCTCATGCATGCTAGGCAAGCATTCTACCACTAGACTACAAGTTTAGCCCATAAATGTAAAATTTAAAGAAAAGTTTCTAAAATGATCAAGTCTGTAGATTTTGGCATTGCTATCCTGTTTCTGTTTTACTGATGAAGTATAATATAAATACATTACCTTGAAAAAGGAAAGTATCACTGTATCTAAGGTCATAACTGATCATAGAAAATTAAAGCAAATTATTTGAATAAGATGAAAAATTTCAGATTTTTTTTTTTTTTTGAGACAGAGTCTCCCTTTTGCCCCAGCTGGAACTTGCTGTGTAGACCAGGCTGTCCTCAATCTCACAGAGATCCGCCTGCCTCTGCCTCCAGAGTACTAGGATTATATGGGCATGTGCCAGCATGCCTGGCTCAGAACATGTCTTTAACTTTTGAGCAACTATTATTGTATGAAAGTCAGATTATAAGTTTTTTTACATTAGCAAGAATATAAATATGTTGATTATTGGTTAATATTTGTGAAATTTTAAGTACAGTTTCAAGTGATATTAATTTTTTTTTTTTTGTCTTACAAGTAATTTTGTGTACATCTCTGAAAACTTTATTGGTCTCTTAAAGTGTCCCATTTTAGGGGCCTATTTTCTAAGGTCATCAGCTCTCATCTGGATTAGTGAGAGCTATAAATCTTGTACTGGATTGTACACAGTGTTTTATAGCAGCACAAAACAATTCCATAGTAACGACAGGTGATGGTAACAGGACTGAGAGAACAAGGCCGTCAGGACAGTTGGCCTGGCTGCCGCCTTCAGTAGCTATTCACTGTGCATCTCGACTTTCTTTGCAGACGTCTGGGGAAAAGGTGGGCAAGCTGAGCTTAGTTGATTTAGCCGGCAGCGAGCGAGCCACGAAAACCGGAGCCGCTGGCGACAGGCTGAAGGAAGGCAGCAACATCAACAAGTGGGTCATCTGCAAGTTCATTCTTGGATTGCTTTATCGAGTTAACAGAAGATGAGGGGAGCGTCTGTGGTTATTAAAGATGGTGTGGAAAGATTGAGGCAATGAAGAATAAGTAGTTGGGACTGTTTTTCTAGTGTTTTCCTTGGGCCCGGGCTCATTTTCAGTTCTGTGGATTCGTTTGATGGCACCTAGGAGCACAGTCTCAGTTAAGTCAGGGCTTCTCAACAATGGCCCTGTTGACATTGGATCAGATGACTCCTTGTCCTGGGGGTGAGGGATGCTGTGCATTATGGGATGTTTCCTGCCTGTTAAATGATGGTGGGACCCCTGCCTCGCTCCAGGCCGCAGTTGTGACAGCACAGACTTCTTGTGACTTGTGTTCCCTGTGGGGCACAGTCATCTTGCATTTGAGAACTGCTATTCCTCTAATAAAATGCTTAGCACAATTTGTTTTTCATTTTTGCAGATTAAAAAATATGAACTGAGGAAAACCCAGCCTCAAAAAAATAAAAATAAAAAATAAAAATGAAAAAAAAGTGAACCATAAAACTTGAGGTCAAGATAATAACACAAGCAGTAGACAGCTTCAGGGAGGAAGCCCAAGAACAATACTAATTAAACAGGAGTGTGAGGCAGAACTGGTGTCTACAGGAGGCCATCGCAGCCCAGCATCTGGACTAGTGCTCACTAGTGCATACCCACAGTACATCAGGGAGCGATATGCACTGAGAGGCCCTGAGGACAGGAAAGACTCAAACTCCTGATGAGATAAAAATTTAATGCAAGGGAGAATTAGACCACAGGAAAGATTGGTGAACACAGCATTACCTCATTAGAGTCCTTGCTTCTCAGACTCTGACAAACAGCAGTCATAAGGGACAGCCCAGTGTGGCTCGCACAGCCATACACAGGTCACACTCACTAGCTGCGCTCTCAGAGACGAATCGCTGCTCTTTTAGTTTTCAGATCAAATAGCAAAATGCTGACCGTGTGCTTCTTAAATGCAGGCTCGGGCATCTTGCTGTTCATCTCTCTGTTAAAGTATGACAGTTGATGTGCTCCAGTTTGGGTAATTATGATTTTGTTGCTCCATGCAGGTCCCTCACAACCCTCGGTCTGGTTATCTCAGCCCTAGCAGATCAGGGTGCTGGCAAAAACAAGAACAAATTTGTTCCCTATCGTGACTCAGTTCTCACGTGGCTACTCAAGGTGAGTTGTTTTTTCTACTCCCAGTGCTCGGCAGAGGGGAGGGAAGAGCAGGCCACTAATCTCTTGCAATTACCCTTTCTCCATCTATGTTCAGATTTACAGTCTTTAGGTTATTTTCACAAACACAGTTCTCATGGGCTGAGAGGTGAAAGTGTCTTCCTAGGGATTGACATTCCTGCCTTCCTGTGAGAGAAGTGGTTGCACACTCGCTGAATCACACGGTGGCTTCCGGAGATTGAGGGGCAAGAAAGCCCTCATCCTGGTGGGACAGCGTGGTTCCTGGCAGTGTCCACGGCTGACATACTACATGCTCACAGACGCCTTCGTTTGATAGTTTGGACCGTGCTTTCTGTTTCATTTCACTCCTGACCCCTTAGTTTGCTGTTTCCCATTGAATCCGTAAAGTTGCTCATCCTTTTTTAAGACTATGTGCCTGTGTGGATGCACCAGAGGGTCAGTCTTGGACGTCATTCCTCAGACGCTGTCCTCCTTGACATTTGAGACAAGGCCTTTTCACTCACTGGGATGTGGGGCTAGCTGGTTAGGCAAGGCTGACTGGCCAGTGAGATTCAGGGGTCTGCCTGTCTCTGACTCCCCAGGATTGGGATTTCAGGTGCATGTCACCACCACACCTGGCTTTTTACGTGGGTGCTCAGCACCAAAGGTCCTTACATGAGGGAAGCATGTAACATTTCGGTTACATTTTGGTTGCTGTGTTAAAACACCATGATCAAGGCAACTTCTAGAAAGAAGAGTTTATTGGGCTTATGGTTCCAGAGGATGAGAGTCCATACTGGTAGGAAGCAGCAGGAAGCTGAGGACTCACACCTTCAAGCACTCACAGGAAGCAGAGAGAGCTGGAAATGGGATCAGGCTCTGAACTCTCAACACTCCCCCACCCCCGTACTTCACCCAGCAAGGCCACACCTTCTAGACCTCTGCAAACAGTGCCACCAACGGGGACCATGTGTTCAAATATTTGGAACCTATGGGGGACATTTTCATTCAAACTACCACACAAGCCCTTTACTGAATGAGCCAAGATTTGCACTTTCCATTTGTTTTTATGTTGCATTTGCGTAATAATTGTTCTATCACTTGATATCTGTAGCCTTCTTAGTGTGGACCTCTTAACCCAAGTCTGGTAATGCTGCCCAAACTGGATCTTTCTGGTTAATTGCCGTTATCACGCTTACTGGCACTTACCCAGTAGAGGCCACTTCCTTTCCATCTCTAACCTGGCTGGCAACCAGTCCGCTCACCACATTTCTAAATTCGCTTTGACTTTAGATCTCTTGAATAACTGTCCTCCGGGCCTTTAGGATCAAGTTCAAGTTCTTTAATGAATGCAACTGCAGAGCCGTCATGGCTACCTCTCCTTCCTCTTCCTTTTCGTCTTCCACGCTCCAGTGTCAGGAAGTAGAGCTGAGCGGAGAGGACTGAATGACTTCTAGACCTTTCCTTAGTCCCCAGTCCCCTGTCTCCCTCCCCTTCTCTTCCTGCTCAGTGCTACCTTTAGGGCACCAGCTCTTGGGAGCCTCTTAGCCTTTCAGTGATTGGCCTCTGGTCCTCCTCCTTCAGACCCCAGCGTGTTATCCTTGCCTCAGCTCTTCCGTAGTACTGGCCTCTCCTAGACGGCAAACCCCAGGCAGAGGCCAGTGACGAGTGATCTCGGCTCCGCTCAGAACTAGCACTCTGACCTTTGGTTAGCCTGTCAGCCTTCCTGGGTCTCAGTTTCTTATTTGAGCAATGAAGTAATTGGGTTAGATGGATTCAGAGTTCATTCCTTCAGTTTGAAAAAAATTCTGTCAAATTTCTTTCCAGTGTCCATTTGATTTGTTTGCATTGCTACATTTGAAACAAAGCTTGTCTGATTTTCCTAGTTAAACAAAGAGTAAACAAGAAACTGTGTACTGTCTCCTTGAACTGGTGCCAGTTCTTTTGTTACCATTTCCTTCTGCTCGGCCAGCTTGCTCTGGGATCCCCTATCTGTACCTCCTGTGTGCTGGGATTACAGGTGGGCTGCCGTGTCCACTCAGCTTTTCTTTGAGATCTGGAATCCGAACTCCAGTCCTAATGCTTATGTGGCAAGTGCTTCACCCATTGAGCCATTGCCTCAGCCCTAAATCTTTGATTTAGTTTTGTTTAGATCTTTTCTTTTTTTTTTTTTTTTTTTTTTGGTCTTTTTGAGACCTTGTAGCCCCAGCTGACCTGGAACTTGCTATGTAGACCAGGCTGGCCTTGAACTCATAGAGGTCGGCCTGCCTCTTCCTCCCAAGTGCTGGGTTTAAAGGTGTGGGCCACCACACCCGGCAGTTGTTCCTGATCATTTTTCCCAGCTTTGGATGGAATAGCAGTGTGTTCGGAGTTATCTGCTGCCCTGTAACAAATTACTCCCAAACTTGATAGCAGGGACCAGCAATCACTTACCACCTCCTGGTTTCTGTAGGTCAGACTTCCAGGGCAGCATAACTCTTTGTAGCTGGGGTTTCCCCTGTGCTATAGTCCAACCATGAACCAAGGCTGTGGGCTTGAGGTTTGACCCCAGGGGTGAGAGGATTGGCTCACTTCCAAAGTAGCAGGCTTCAGGGACCTGCTTTCTCCTCACTCCTGTGGGTCTCTTCACAGGGCCTCTTCACCCCATGGCAGCTCTCCGTAAAGCAAGAGACTGTCCAAGGTAGCAAGCCCCACCTGCTCTAATCCAGTCTCACAAGTGCTGTGCCACCAGGTCCCCATATTCTATCTGTTAGAGGCCAGTCAGTAAGTCCTGAGCACACGCAGGGAAAGGGCTGATAACAGTTCGGAACAGCAGGTTCCCTTTGCGCAGTTTATGGACAGCAGGGGACTTGGTTTGCTGGTTTTATGTGTGAGTTGAGGCTTCCTTTTTTGTTTTTTGTTGTTTTTTTTTTTTCAATGCTGGAGATTGAACCTAGGGCCTCACGCATGCTGGCGAGTGTTCTACCACCAAGCCTATGTCCATTTTATTTTATTTGTTTTAATATTCTTGTTATTTTAAGGTTCTCAGCAGTAGTTTTTCCATTGTTGAAAGCCAGTTACTGGACTGGTGTTTTAGTGTACTGCAGTTGAGTATCTTCTTCAGTACCTTTGAATGTTCCGTGGAAGCTGCTTGTACAATGTGAAACCTGTCCTAGTAGTTTCTGGAGCAGTGGTCAAGGGAAGAAAACATAGTTCCTGTATCTTTCGGTTTAGAAGGCTAGAATAGTCCCTTATGCTTTCAGAGCCTTATAAGGCTCTTGAGAGCTGTGCTAGCAACTTCCTGAGCCCTCATCTTCACAGAAGACAGGCTGCATGGAGGAGGAAAGTTTACGTGAGCACTCCTTGGTCACAAGTCAGATTTTAGGGTTGATCTGGGAATGACCCACTGGTAGAGCACTTGTCTAGCATGCAGGAGGCCCTGGGTCAGTCTCTAGCACTGGGGGAATAATAACTAATATTGTGCTTGTTCCTCTAAGGAAGGTTGGCTAGCCATTGACTTTATATCCATACACAGGTACCAAGGATCCAAGTGCAACTGACCATGACTAGTAATAATCAGATACATACAGATTAGAGACGCATGCACCGAGTTCTAAGTGTTACTAGCAAAAAACAATGAGTATTTCTGTAAGAAACAGTATATTTTAAAATGAAATGGAGTGCTTGTTCCTCTAAGGAAGGTTGGCTAGCCATTGACTTTATATCCATACACAGGTACCAAGGATCCAAGTGCAACTGACCATGACTAGTAATAATCAGATACATACAGATTAGAGACGCATGCACCGAGTTCTAAGTGTTACTAGCAAAAAACAATGAGTATTTCTGTAAGAAACAGTATATTTTAAAATGAAATGGAGATCTCTTTATGCCCGGCTGGAGATCTTTTTTAAAGGTTAGAAACTCATTCAATTTTATGTCCTACAGGGTTTATACTGAGTTCAATATTGTATAACTGTATTAATTCAACTGTGACCCTAAAAATTTTGTAGCCTCTTTTGAAAGAGATGTATCTTTGTTCTGGAAATTGTTATTGAGTGTGTTAAAGCTGTAATGAAATGCTTCTTCTAAAAATAAAAAAGCAAAAAACAAAAAACAAAGCCTCTTCTTGGGGCTAGAGAGATGGCTCAGTGGTTAAGAGCCCTATCTACTCTTGCAGAGGACCCAAGTTCGAATCCCAGCACTCACATGATGGCTAACAACTGTCTGTAACTCCAGTTCCAGGGTATCTGATGCCCTCTTCTGACCTCTGCAGGCATCGCATGACACGGGGGCACTTAGAAACATCCAGGCAATACACTCATACACATAAAATAAAAATAATAAATAAAATATTTTTAAAAGTATGTTGCCTATAAGGGCTGGAGAGACGGCACAGCGGTTAAGAGCACTGGCTGCTCTTGCAGAGAGGACCCGGGTTCGATTCCCAGCATCCACATGGCAGCTATGAACCATCCTTAACTCCAGTTCCAGGGGAATCCAAAGCCCTCCTCTGACCTCTGCAGCATTGCATGACACGGGTGCACTCACATACATGCAGGCAATACACTCATACACATAAAATAAAAATAATAAATAAAAGTATGTTGCCTATTAAAGAGGACAAGTTATCTTAGGATTAATTTTTACTAAAAGAAAATAAATATAATCTTTATTGGATTTTCCTGCTTTCTTGAAACGTAAATGTTTTGTTGTTAAGAAAAGAAACTTGGCAGAGCAGAGATGGCCCAGACTTGACCATGTGAGCCCCATTGTCCCTATATGTGCTTGGCCTTGGGAACCATTTTGCTCTTTCTGACTTCAGCTCTTTCATGCAATGTCTTCTTCCAACTTTAAAAGCTTCTCACTATTTTCCTCCCTCGTAGGACAGTCTGGGAGGCAACAGCAAGACCGCCATGGTGGCCACCGTGAGCCCGGCAGCAGATAACTATGACGAGACCCTGTCAACCTTGCGGTACGCAGATCGAGCAAAGCACATTGTCAACCATGCTGTGGTGAACGAGGACCCCAATGCCAGGATTATCCGTGATCTCCGAGAAGAGGTGGAGAAACTCCGAGAACAGCTGACCAAAGCAGAGGTGTGAGGTGCCGCAGGGCGCCATGTGGCTGAGGGTGACTGGCAGTCTTGAATGAATTTTTTTCCCTTTTTCTTTCCCTTGCTTGTGAATTTTGAAATTCCTTTGGGAAGAGAAATTTGAACCAAGTAATATAGGCAAGTTGTCATATCTGAAATTTAGAGTTTTTATAGGTATTAAGAATTGGATAGGAGAAAATAAAATGTTTCTTTTTTTAATTATTTTTTTTTATTTTATGTGTATGCATGTATTATCTGCATGTGCACCCATGTCGGGTAATGCCTGCAGAGGTCAGAAGATGCTGTCGGATCCCTTGGGACTGGAGTTACGGACAGTTGTTAGCTGCCATATGGGTGCTAGGATTTGAACCTGGGTCTTCTGCAAGAACAACCAGTGTTCTTAACTGCTGAGCCATCTCTCCAGCCCCAAGAAAATGTTTCTTAAAGCCTGGTGTGGTGACGCACACCCTTAATCCCAGCAGAGGCAAAGTGGTTGCTGTGAGTTCAAGACCAGCCAAGGCTACATAGTGAGACCCTGTCTCAAAAAACAAAACAAATTCTTTCCATTTCTATCCAGGAAGCGGAAATGATAAAAGATTTACTAGAACAAGGGGAGAAAGACTGTGAAGAAAGTGATTTAGCTTTAGTGTGGAAACAGAGTGGGCTTGGAGTCCTTGGGGGAAGGAATCGGGCTTCCTTCCTCTCTCCTTTGTTAATGCAGCTGGAACAGAGGTCCCCTCACCTTTGTCACCTACCTGCTGTGGGTGTTACGTTTGTAGAGTAGTATTATAGGCTCTTTGATGATGGAAGTAGCCACGGGCTCGGAGGTGCTGTGGCCTTCTGTATGTCCTCCTATGTTCTGTGACAGGTGAGGCTTGGCTCCTGCTACTGGATTTGAAAAGCAGGCACTGTTCTTGGGAGCATGAACTGCCTGACTCAGTTCCTGCCGTACTTAGTGCTTCTGTCCCTACCGCCAGGGCTTTGGGACTCGTCCCTGCAGCTGATGCCACAGCTCCTTCTTCCTCATTACTTTTGTTAGGGTAGAAAATCAATAAAATACACGGTTGAGACAGTTATCTTGATTATGGTCTTTAAGCCCCTTGCAGTTTTTACAGATCTTCCTGATCCTTGGTGATGTTGTTTCTATCTTTTCTCCTATTAAAAACAGCATCTGATTGTTTCTTGGTCTTTTAGCTAAGATCAAGTGTTAATAGCACTGTTCAGTTTGTAGCATGCACATGTATAACTTGTGTAGCCTGGAATAAGTTCCTGAAGTCACCAATAGAGAGAGATTGAGATGACTCATATCTATAAGTCTAGATATATAGACTATTGGAATTTAAACTCCTTAGCCCTGAGGCTGGAGAGATGGCTCAGCAGTTAAGAGCACTGACTGCTCTTGAAGAGGACCCAGGTTCGATTCCCAACACCCACATGGTGGCTATAAACCATCCTTAACTAGAGTTCCAGGGGAATCTGATGCCCTCTTCTGACCTCTGTGGCATTGCACGACTCGGGTGCACTCACATACATGCAGGCAATACACTCATACACATAAAAATAAAAATAATAAATATAAAATAAAATCCTTAGCCCTCAACAAGTAGCCTGGCACATTTATCTCCTTAAATGTAATGAGATCCTCATGGGGTTGGATGAAAGGGAAGAGTTAAGTTGTCCTTCTAAATGTGTCTTGGATGACCTGATGGGTCTGAGATCCTCCTGGCCTCAGTGTTGGGGTCAGCCATGGCCCTCCCTGGTGTTTTAGGTAGGCAGGAAGTCAGCCTGACATTTACTTGAGCAGTGGAAGGAGGTCACAGAGTCCTTTCAGCATCAGCTGATTCGTTTTTCATGGCACCACGCAGACATTTCATGAAGTGAACATTTTGTTTGTAGGCAATGAAATCTCCAGAGCTAAAAGACCGGCTGGAAGAATCCGAGAAGCTTATCCAGGAAATGACTGTGACTTGGGAAGAGAAATTAAGGAAAACTGAGGAGATTGCACAGGTTTGTGTTGAAGGGATTGAGACTGTGCAGCCTTGGGCTAAGATTGCTGTGGGACTCAGATGGGGCTGTGCTCCTTAAGTTCCCGCTTTGCTGCCAGCAGGTCCAGCACACAGATGGGACTCCAGGTCCCCTAGGGCCTGTTGTTCACAGGATCATCTGTGGGGCTGCAGAGGGCCTGACCATCACAGAACGAATCTGAAGGGTAAAGAAAGTGCAAGTGAAATGTTTTGTTTGCTTTGTAAGGAATGATTAGCTTTTCAGTGCCAGTAAGATTTATTTACTTATTTGTGTTGGGGATTGAATGTAGGACCTCACACATGCTAGGCAAGTCCTCTACTGCAGAACATCCCAAGCCCTAACTTTTAAAAATACAGTGCTTTTATTAATTTTTTGAGAATTTTACAATGCAGTGTGTTCTGATCACTTTCACATTCACTCCCCCCAGATCCACGTCCAGCCTCCTTCACCCCCTTCCAGCTTCCTGTTGTCTTTTTTTAAATGATCCCACTGATTCCAGTTTGTACTATGCATAGACTGATGGCAGGACCATCCACTGGAGCATGCTCAGCACACTGGGGACCACAGCCTTAAAGAAAACTGACTCTCCCTCCCCCAGAGGCTGTCAACTGTCAGTAGCGTCTCAGCTAGGGATGGGGACGCCTGAACCTCTCTTCCTGCCTTGCTGGAATGTTGCCTAGCTTGATTTTGTGGGTTCATGAGTGGTCCTGTCATGTCCTACAATCTTTCTGTCCCTTCTTCCTAGATGGTCTCTGAGCCTCAGGGGACAAGACGGGGGTATGATATGGATCTTCTGTGTGTGTGCCAAGCCCTAATTTTTAACTTATTTTTAACTTTTAAATTTATTTTTATGTTTTAAATTGACATACATATTTATTTATAGGGTACAGTATAATTCCATACATGTATACTTTTGGTGGTTAATAGATTGTCATTTTCTACCACTGAGCCTTTTTTGATCTAGACAAAAATTTTGAGACCCTGTCTCAAAAAAAAGAGAGAAGATCAAGGACTCACTTGTTTTCTTGGCTGCTATTTATCATGGGCTTTAGTATTTAGTATTTATTTATTTATTTATTTATTTAATTTTTTGAGACAGTGTCTCCCTGTAGCTCTAGCTGGCCTGGCACTCACTATGTAGACCAGGCTGGCTTCAACCTCACAAAGATCCGCCTGTCTCTGCCTCCTGAGTGCTGGGATTAAAGATGTGCACAACCAAGCCCTGCCGGAACAAATCTTTGATAACTATCGGATCTTCTGTATCTTGCTGCCTCCAGGGCTGGGAAGAAATATTTCTCTTATGTCTTTCCAGGAGCGGCAAAAGCAGCTGGAGAGCCTTGGAATCTCTCTCCAGACTTCCGGCATCAAAGTTGGGGATGATAAGTGTTTCCTCGTTAATCTGAATGCTGACCCAGCTCTGAACGAGCTCCTGGTGTACTACTTAAAGGTGAAGCCGGCTGCTGGCATGAAGTGCTTTGTGCAAGTTGGGGAGCGTGCTTGTTCACAGATAGTTTCATTCAGTCAGATGGTGTATAGGGCAGTCGTGAGTTTCTGGGATCATTTTCCCTTTTCAGTCTTTGAGTGATGTCATTTTGCCTAGTATAATTTCTTTAAACATAAGAAGAAATAGTTAAAGAAAGTAAAGTTTTTAGGACGACTTATTTATGTTTCCAATAACCTTTAGGAAAATTTAAAAAGTTCAAATTAAAAAATAAAAAGGGGCGTGGTTTGCTGGAGAGATGGCTCAGTGGTTAAGAGCACTGGCTGCTCTTGCAAGAGGACCCAGGTTCGGTTCTCAGAACCCACATGGTGGCTAACAATTGTCCATAACTCCAATTCCAGGGGTTCAACACCCGCTTCTGGCCTCCACGGGCATTGCACAGCATGGATGCACTTATGTACATGCAGGCAAAACACACATTTTTAAAAATTTCAAATTAACCTATTAAAAATAGAAGGAAGGGCATGTCACCTAGTCATCAAGAGTGTCAGACTACAGAACAGAAAAGGAGACAAACGGCTGGCTGTGGTGGCATCTGCCTTCAATCCCAGTACTCAGGAGACAGAGGCAGGTGGATTTCTGTGAGATCAAGGCCAACCTGGTCTACATAGAGAATTCAGGCCAGCTGGGGCTGCACAGTGAGATCCCCATCTCAAATGATGACAAAATCTAGCTTTGAAAGAAAATAAGACAAATATAGTATACACTGAAATCTGTCAATCATAGAGAACAATGGAGAACTGTAGAAAGCTCTTGAACCTGACACAAATCACAGGGCATTTCCGCCAGTTTCCCTTATCTGTTCTAGAGCATAAATTAATTACTCATAGACTCTAACCCAGGGCTAATAATACCAGGTATAGTTTCTTCTCCTTATATACGTGGTATTAACCGATGGGACTAGAAAAGTAGAGCTAATGGGTGAGCTGTTTACGTTGGAAACTTGTAGAGAAGACTCACAGTTGTCAGATGTACAGCCTACTTCTCATTGAAGGTATGTTTTGGAATAATTGCTCTGTGTCCTATTGATAAGGTTGCTTTGTTTTTTTAAAGTTTTAAAAAAATTTTATGTATTTTATTTTATGTGTATGCGTGTATTGCCTACATGTAGGTAAATGCACCTGTGTTGTGCAATGCCCGCGGAGGTCAGAAGAGGCTGTCGGAACCCGGGTCCTCTGCAAGAATAACCAGTGTTCTTAACCACTGAGCCATCTCTCCAGCCCCATGGCTGCTTTGTTAATAGGCATCTTACATGGTGTTCGGCAACGCCGAGTCAAATAGTCTTTGACACATACAATGATGTGGGCAGGTCTTGGGTTTTGGCACCGGGAGCAGTGCTGGTTAGGAAGGAAGTGGCCTGTGTTGCTGGTGCAGGAGGTCAAGGCTCTGGTCCCTCTTTTCTTCAGGCTCTTCCTTTGCACATGGGAGGAGGTGACCTCTGGCTAGTTTCCTGGATCCTGTGAAGACTGGATATGTGGACAGGTTTTATAAACAGAAACACTGTATAACCATAGGATATTCCACATTTCACTTCTGCACACATACTGTTTTCACCTATTAAAAATAATAGGCGGACATTTCTCGTTGCTCTTCTGAACAACATTGGTAGCATCTTTTTTAATGTATGTGTGTGTGTGCATACTTGTGTACAGGTCTGTGTGCATGCATGTAGCGATCAGAGAGAACATTTTGGGTGTCAGGCTCACGAAGGCCATTCACCTGCTTTGAGACAGCGTCTCTCATTGGCCTGAAGCTCATTGATTGGCTAGACTGGTTGATCAGCAAGCCAGGGACCCACCGCCCCCAGCGCTGGGATGCTGGGATTACAAGCATGCATTACCACGCCTGGCTCTTTTACCTTTGTTCTGGGATCAAACTCAAGTCCTTGTGGTTGCAAGGCAGGGACTTCTGTCTCTCCTTGCCCAGCATCTTGAGTTAGAACGTCCGCTGTAGATGTTCGTATAGCTTAGGGAAGATGCAGTATTAGAACAGGACTTAGGCACGCTGTCCTTCAGATTTCTGAAGGCAACTTGGAATTCTTTTTCCTTTCTGAGGTGATGTCATTCAAATTAGAGCATACACACACATCTCAAAGGGGCAAAGCCTGATTCCTATCTGTTTCTTAACTAAAACGTTCAATAAAGCAACTGTTTAAAAAGGACCTTTTAGAGAGGAGTCAGAACTTTTCTGGTCCCTTTTGTGGAGGTGTTTGGTTCTGTTCCAGACTGTGGTCATTCCCATTTGGGTCCAGTCTGAGGCAGTCCCAAGGCTGACCCCACAGCAAGACTCATGACAAGGCACATTCAGAAGGGTGAGCTCAGTTCAAGAACAGTCTCCCTTCAGAAAGTACCACCGTGTGGGATGGAGGAATTTGGAGGCTGCACTTTTCACATTTCTTTGCCTGCACTTCTCAAGCTAGTTGAAGCGCAGTGTCATCCTTTCTCCAAGTGGCTTCCACTAACCCATCCACAGGCAAAGCTCCAGATCATAACACCTCTGACGTCCTTCCTGCCTCTGAGCCTTGGATTCTCAGATCCTTCAGCACATGGCTTCCCTCTGTGTCCCATGTGCTCTGCTTGGATTCGTTGGGCCCCGGCTTTGGTGGGGGTTGGGGGGCCCTCTCAGTGTACCCTTAGGTTGACCTTGAATTTGCAGCCCTCCTTTCTCTGCTTCCTGGGTGCTAGGATTACAGGCCTGCACATACTTGGTTAGATGATCTCTGAAACCTTTCCTCATCTGTGGTTTTCCTCGTTGCTTAGCACACACTGTGACCTGAATATACAGCGAAGCTGTAGAACTGAGCCTTCTGGATTTAGTGTTTACCCATTGGATCATTGATTATAACCGCAACGAGAGACCGAGATTGTCCTCTGTAGTATTGACTCTGTAATGGGACTTTGCTGCTTGTGTCTCTAGGATTTCAGTGTCTACCTAATATTTGGTGCCAAAGTATTCATTGAGAAAATGAATTTCTTATGGAAAGTACAGAAAATCAATAAAAAATGTAAAAGGTGGATTTCTTCCAGAGCTTGGGTTAGACCTTTGCCTGCTCACCTCTGCTGACTCGGAATTCATTGTCTTTAGCACCCATCACATACTGTGTCTCAGGCTGGCTGTGCCAGGCACCCGCATCTTGAATAGGTGGCCGTCCAAGTAAGGGGGAAATTGCATTTGCAAAACAGTAACTCAGCAATCACTGGCTCTTGAGTGTGATAAGGGCTCAGAAGAAGGAGAAATCAGGATGTCCCTGCCCTGTGCAGGTTCATTCTGGTTGTGGTAACTGTCAGGGTCAGGTGAGGAATTACATACACACACGCGCACACACACGCACGCTCGCACACACACGCACGCTAAATGTAAAGAAGCAATCTGAACTGACGCTGTGTGTACATGTTGGAGGTCATAGGGCAACCTGTGAAGTCAGTTCTCTCCTCCCACCGTGTTGGGATCTGGGGTTTGAACTCTGGTTGTCAGGCTTGGCAGCACGTGCCCTTACCTGTAGAGCCATCTTGCTAGCCTGCAGATTCTTTGATTAAACAGCTTTCATCTTTGGAGATGACTGACTCTGATTGAGACCAGGCAAGTGATGTCCAACTTAAAGGCTGTAAGGTTGTTTTTTTTTCTCTCATGAAACAGTCTTAAGTAGCCAAGGCTGGCCTTGAATTCCTGATCCTTCCTTCTCCACTTCCCATGTGTTAAAGAGTACAGGTATGCACTTACATAAGCTCTGTAGCTATAGTTTTCAGACCATATTTTGATATATTGTTGATACATGGCTTGTGCTCTGAGAACAGTATAAAATATTTAGAATCAAAGTCTTAAAAGAAAATAATGACTGTAGGATGGACATGAATACAAAAATTATAGTTTTAAATCTAGAAGTCTTAACTAAGATACCAGCCAGAGGGATATTTTTCCTTATAAGGAAATGTAACTTACAGAATGAATTTCAGAAAAGACTACTGTTCTATTTGCTTTTAGAATCTTCTAGCTAAGGTGATAGATCAAAGGGGACCCTTTCAGGGTGCATGTGGAGCCACACAGTATTCATGAATAAATCTGATTCTTTCTTAGGAACATACGTTGATTGGGTCAGCAAATTCCCAGGACATCCAGCTGTGTGGGATGGGGATTCTCCCCGAGCACTGTATCATAGACATCACACCAGAAGGCCAGGTCATGCTGACCCCTCAGAAGAACACCAGGTAATTGAATTAGTGTGAAATTACACCAGGGGTATATTCTGTGAGGGACATTGGGTCTGCTTTTGTTTTTAGCTCACTTGACACACTGTTAGGTACTGAGCTCTTTCTGTTTAACTTGAGTATCTCACACCTGTGCCTTCTCCGCACTCCCATGGCCTGGTTAAGGCTCCATTATGTGTTTTTTTGTTTGTTTGTTTGAGACAGGGTCTCCCTGTAGCCCCAGTTGCCCTGGAACTCACTATGTAGACCAGGCTGGCCTTGAACTCACAGAGATCCACCTGCCTCTGCCTCCCCAGTGCTGGGATTAAAGGTGTGCGCCACCACGCCTGGCTTCCATTATGTTTTGATGAGAACCTTTGACACCACCCTAAGCTTCTTCAACTTCCCTCCCCCCTGGGGGTGTCTTCTGGTTTGGGTAGGAAGCCCCTGGCCTCCCTGCTCGGCCCTTCCCTGCTTGGCCATTCGTCTGGCCTGCCAGCTCCCATGTCGGGAACTGAGCTCTGTCGGGCTGCTTTGGGGCATTCCTGTTACCTACACTTTCTAATGATGGAAGCACTTCTGAAGCCCCTCCAGAGTTAGCCAGCCCGCACCGTTCTTACCCTGGGTCACTCCCGACCATCCCACATACTGAGTAACAAATTCAGCTAGCTTAGCTCAGGAACGCTTCCTCCTTTGGTTGGAGGGTATGGACAGTTTTCCAAAACTCTAATTCCTTGTTAAAAGTGTCAGTTTTGTCACTGGCAGCAAAGGCTGCCAGTTGTTGGTTCGCAGTGACAGACTCCCTCTGTTCACTGTCGGACAGAAAGTCTAAAGCACCGCTGCGTCATCCAGGCGTTGCTGTCTTTGGTGCTTTTTGGCAACTTCTCACTTTGTCAGTTGAAAAATCAAAGGTGCTGTGTGCTCAGGTCAGGGTTCAGTGGCACACAGCTTCATCCGAGGACCCCATCAAGTGGCAGGTTTTTTGTATCGTGACTGTGTGATGGGACTACTCCGGGGAATGCGGGGTGTGTGCTGTTGCAGCCCGGCTCCGTGTGGTGCTCCAGCAGGGCCCCTGTGTGTCATCACGGAGGTAAGGGGCAAGACTTAAGTGTTAGTGCCGCAGCAAAGTAGTTCTGACCCTGCGGACCCCATGTAGACTACACTCCCAGAGCTGTTCTTGTGTTCATGTGTTTTAAAACTAGTCATGCTTAGTGGCAATACTTTGTGAAGTCAGCTGCCTATGTGTTTGCTTTCCCTAACTCAACTGTATTTAGAGAACCATGTCATCAAGCCCGAGGTCTGCTCAGTTAGTAAGTCCTTTTCTAGTACTGCTATATTTTTGGAATTTGTGCTTTGAATGATCAGACTACAGGGGCAAACGGATCAGTTACTTTTTTTTTTTTTTTTTTTTTTTTTTTTGGTCTTTTTGAGACAGGGTCTCCCTGTAGCTCCAGCTGTCCTGGAACTCACTATGTAGACCAGGCTGGCCTTGAACTCACAGAGATCCGCCTGCCTCTGCCTCCCGAGTGCTAGGATTAAAGGCATGTGCCACCACGCCCAGCTAGGATCAGTTACTTTTTAAAAATATATTTTTTTAGTGTTTTAAGAACCCCCACAGGGAACAAAATCTAAATTAGGAGTAATAGTGGAGGGAAACACGTAGAAAATCATGAAAATATAAGGCCAGGTAAGAGTATCATAGCTGTGGTGGCATGTGCTCATAAACCCAGTATTAAGGAGGCCGAGGCAGGAGGACCACAAGTTCAAGGCCAGTTTAGGTTATGTAGTAAGAGCCTTTCTCAGAAAAATAAAATCCAAACAAACAATCTAAAACAAAGTAAAACAAGGTTTATAGCTTTGCAGAGTTTAATGAAACTCAGTGACTGGAGTGGTTAGCAGCTTTTTAAAAGTTGAGTCCAAAGTGGACTTGGATTGTGAAGAAGGCCTTGGAGGATGGAGAGGAGTAAGGACCTTATTCCAGAGGATGGAGAAGAAGCAGTGGGGCGGGGGGAGACACAGGATGGAGAGGAGGGGGGACCTTTTTCCTTGATGAAGCAATAAAAATGATTTTTAGGACTGATGTGATCTCTTGTGTAGGAAGAGATGATCATGTTTAGGGTGCAGAAAAGAAATCTCTATTTTTATAGGAGCTGAGGGTTTACTGGAAGAGGGAAAGGAAGGAACGGCCTTCAGTGTCAAAGAACTAGTACTTGGTGTCCCATGTTGTAGTGAATGAGTCACTTATCTGGAGAGAGGCAGGAGGCTGGGATCCCAGGAATATGCACGCGTGTAATTTTCTGCCTGTTTCCTGCACTTCCAAAGTCTTCCCTGCTAGCATTTTACCCACTGCTTCTGTTGAAGTCTGTTATCTAAATAAGCAGTTCGGTTGAGCTCATGAGTCTTCTGGATTGAAGGACATAGATGTTGCCCTACGCTCTGGGAAGTTGCAGGAGATAATATAGGGCTCATGTTACATTGATGGTGTCTGTAACTGTGTCTAAGGTTTGGGTGGTTTATTGGCTTTTTGGCTTTTTTGTTTGTTTGAGACAGGCAGGGTCTCCCTGTAGCCCCAGCTGGCCTGGAACTCACTGTGTGGACCAGGCTGGCCTTGATCCCACAAGAGCTCTACTTGCCCCTGCCTCCTAAGTGCTGGGATTAAAGTTGTATGCCGCCAGGCCCAGATTGGCTTTCTTGTTCATCTAGGTTGGACATGCTTGTTTTAGTTGCTGTGTTGCTCATTATTTCCTGTCATGATTCCATATTGACTCCTCCATATACTAACAAGTTTAGAACTTTTAAAGATGGAAGAGATAGATCTCTAACAAGACTATTCATGTGTGAAGTGGGCTAGAGAACGCTTAGAACTTTGAAGACTGGAAAATAGTACCACAGAGATGTTCCTATAGATACTGAAATTCACCAGGGTTTTTTTTATTTTGCTTTCCTGGTATCCATACCACTGTAATATTAAATAGTAAAAGCATAGAGTGGATAATCCTTGTTCCACTGACCTCTTCTTCCCACAGAACATTTGTAAACGGGTCTTCTGTTTCCAGCCCCATCCAGCTACACCATGGGGACAGGATACTATGGGGCAACAACCATTTCTTCAGGTACGACATTGCTTACAGCCCTAGAAGTGGGAGGCCATGGAAGGCTCTGCTCTGAAACAAAAGGGTGCATTTTAAATGTAAACTCTATAAAAATTGCACATTCACATGCATAGTTTATATGTTTGTTCATGACGTAAGTATGTGTAAGCCCTGAGGACTTAGAATAGTAAGCATCCTCAGCAAAAGTAACTGAGTTTACTCATATACTTTTCTTTTTCTTCCCAGAGGAAGATGGTTGTTTTTCTAATGGGCTCATTCTATCTTCTTCCCTCCTTCCTTCCTTCCCTCCCTCCCTCCTTCCCTCCCTCCTTCCCTCCTTCCTTCCTTCCCTCCCTCCTTTCTTCCTTCCCTCCCTCCTTCCTTCATTCCCTCCCTCCTTCCTTCTTTCCCTCCCTCCTTCTTCTTTCCCTCCCTCCTTCCCTCCCTCCTTCCTTCCTTCTTCCCTCCCTCCTTCCTTCCCTCCGTCCTTCTTCCCTTTCTTCCTTTTATCATCAATCATCTATCACCTATTTGTCACTTGTGTATCATCTTTCTATTATCTAGCTTATCTATCACTTATCTATCTCCTATCTATCATCTACCTATATTTATCATCTATTAATCACATGCCTATCATTTATGTACACTTTTCTTCCCTTTTTTGGCTGAAAAATCAGTTGTGAATTTGGTCCCTGTCCCTGAGAGCAGGTTGTGTTTTCTCTCACTGCTCCTTGCAAGGCCAGCACACAGGACAGTGATGGCTTAAGCAGATCATGCATTTCCCTGACAGAATGAGAAGTATACAGGGAGATTGCTGTCAGAGTTGGCTATGCCTCTCAGAAGGTCATGGGCTGCAGCCTGCTGTTGTCTTGGCACTTTCTGGTGGTGTAAAGATGGCTGTGCCCCTGCATTCATGGAGGTAGCATTCAACTCACTGGTACCAAAGGACAGCAGAGGGGGCAGCACCAGCCCTGGGTGCCCTCTTTGCACCTGGGTGCCCAGCGCCAGCAGCCTTCCTCTTGTGTCTCCTTGGTAGATACTGCCTGGTAGCTGCAAGGGAGGCTGGAAAAGAAAGGTCTCTGCGGTTGCAACACTGTTTCCCCAGCAATTGTCCTGCATGTGTGGTAGGCTGGATGCTGTAGAGTTCAAATCCTGAGCTCTTCTTTCCGTCCCTGGACAGCTGCTTCAGCTGTTAAACTGACTTCTTGTAAACTAATGCCGATCCTTTCTTGTTGGCCACTTGATAGTTTCATTTTTCCCCTTTTGAACTGAAGCATTGCTTGGCTTAGTCTTCCAGATCGTTCCCTGTGGATTTTGTATGCGGTGCTGTTTTGCTCTTTAGGTCTGTAGAGACGCATCAGCATTTCCTGTTCCCATCTTTCCCCTCTGTGCTCACACTGTTCCCCCTTCCCTGCTTTCCTCTCATCCTCTGAGGCTCAGCTCTAGCGGTTGTGTGCCCTGTCCCACCTTCCTTTCTCCACTGTGCCGTGGGCCTCAGTTTTTCTCCGCACTCAGCTTGCCGCAGTCTTGTGGCCTGTTTACTTCCTCGCACATGTGGATGTTTTGTTTCTGCTGCTAGAACATAAGGCTCCTGAGTACAGCAGCCGCCTTGTATTCCTGTGGCGTTCCTTGACTGCTAGCAAATGCCAGAATGTGAGGAATGGAATGAACAAGTGATTATCTCGATGTAAAAAGTAACAGCCTTTTTTTCCAACCTCAAGACTCAATTTGCCTAAAAAGAAAAAGAAAGCAGAAGGTGAGGAGGGGCACGACGGCTCCCTGAGGAACGACAGCAGTTCTGAGCAGCTGGATGCTGACGGGGACTCCTCCAGCGAGGTGTCCAGTGAGATCAACTTCAACTTTGAGTACGCTCAGATGGAGGTGACCATGAAGGCCCTGGGCAGCAATGGTGAGCAGGGCTGCTGTGCTGCCAATGGCTTCTGTGGAGGACAGACCTGCTTCTGGCCACGCCTTTCCTGGGCCCATCCCCAAACTCTGTCTTTGGCTGTAATACCCTACTTTATTGTACTTACAAAACGTGGATTCTCTCTGCTCTGATAGAGATCACTGCAGATTTGTCCTCATGATGGAATCTCTCAGGTTTGGAGCCCCTGGCTTCTTACGCATTTCTGGAGCATTCATTACAACTTAGGTAGTGTGTAGAGCATATGTTAGACCTCAGTGTTCTGTATGGAAGACAGCAGGGAGTAGATCTAATTAGAATGTGTCTCTGATGGTGTTGGGTCGGGGTAGTCAGAAGGACAGATGGTTGACGTGGCCTGTGCTGTTTAGATCCTATGCAGTCCATATTGAACAGCCTGGAGCAGCAGCACGAGGAGGAGAAGCGTTCTGCGCTGGAGCGCCAGCGGCTCATGTACGAGCAGGAGCTGGAGCAGCTCCGGAGAAGGCTGTCTCCCGAGAGGCACAGCTACCGAGCTGGGGACCGGCTCTCCTTCCACTCACCCAGCGCCCAGCAGCGCTTGAGACAGTGGGCTGAGGAGAGGTAGGCGCACAGTGGGCCTGCTCCAGGTAGCACTCGTTCTCCCGGAGAAGGTTCCCAATGGGAACATTACACAGTACTTGCAAAAGAGTAACACTTCAAGAGGGTGTTTAGCTAAGAGCTACTCTGCCTCTCTCCATCCCTCTTCCTTAATTTTTTCCTCCTCTTTCCTCTCTTCTTTCTCTTTCTTTTTTCTTTTCTTTGGGTTGCTGTTGTTGGTATTTTGAAACAGGCCTTGAAATCCCTCTGTAGCCCAGGCTGGCCTGGAACTTAGACTCCTCCTGTCTCAGCCTCTGAGCACTGGGGTCATAGGTATGTACTAACAGGTCAGGGATCTTGGTCCTCTCTTCTCTCTCCCTTTTCATGGTACTGGGGATCAAATCAAGGGCCTGTGCGTGCTAGGCAGGCATTCCACCCCTGAGCCACATTACCAAATCTTATTAAAATGGGAATTGCCAGTATATAGTGCTTTCTTTAAAGCCTCCCCTGTTACGTGGTGCCCATTTTCAGTTTGTGTGGCCTTTGGATTTGAATGAAGAGGTTTATTTTCATTGTATAATGCTTTATGTTCTGAAGGTTGATAGATGCATTTTTTTAAAAAAAAAAAAAAGAGGGGGAAAGAAAGTTGGTTGTCTGGATGGGTTAGCTCAGGTAGGTAAAGCACAGTGCTCAGGAGGTACAGATTACAAGTTCGATCTCTGTGTGGGCTACTTAGCATCGTACTAAATGCCTTCTTCCATGGTTACAGGCCATAAGTCACTAACCTTCTGCTCCTCCGAGTCTGGTCTGCACCAGGCAGCGTCCCTGTCTGCTGGAGAGTGGCAGGCATATTGAATCTCCAGCTCTCTTGAGTCCATCTTGAGTTTATCAAGATGCCCTGGTGTTTCATGTGCAGTTGAATTCTCAGAGCACTGTACTTGCCTGTGGCCATACTGTACAAGGAGTGCTGGTGCTTGTGATGTAGCCCAGGTACCAGTATGCACATGGGGCAGTGTCAGTAATGTGTCCCTGTGTGACCTGAGAGTTGTGCATTAGCGTATCATGACTGGTTTTCTGACGTGCTGTTTTTATATGTTATCTCCTCCCTGCCTCTATAATTTTGGTTTTATTTTGTCTTAAAGAGAAGCAACATTGAATAACAGCTTGATGAGGCTGAGGGAACAAATTGTAAAGGCCAACCTGCTGGTGCGTGAAGCTAGTTACATCGCAGAGGAGCTGGATAAAAGAACTGAATATAAAGTCACCCTCCAGATCCCGGCGTCCAGCCTGGATGCCAACAGGAAGGTGAGGCGCTGGCCCTCCACACAGCATGGTAAAGCTGCTGTTGGCTGATGTTGCACTGGGAGCTACTGTGTGATTGGAACAGTAGGTTTGTGCCCAGATCCTCGCCAAGACCTCTTTGAGGACCTTAGGTCCTCTCTCAAGGAGTGATTTCCTTTGAATTCCCTGCCTCTGGGTAGTTATCCACTAGGCTCATGCTCCCTGCGCCCCTGGACCTGCCACTGCAGCTCCCTCAGCTCCCTCTTCTTACCTGCTTTTTTTGTTGCTGTTTGACACAAGGTTATAGCTTAAACTGGCCTCCAACAGGAGGCAATCCTCCTGCCTCTGCCTCTCAAGTTCTGGGAATACAGGTGTGAGTCACCACACCTTCTTGAATTTTTGAAGCAGTCTTATAGTTTATTAATTAATTTATTTACTAGATTTTTGAGACATGGTCTCACTGTGTAGCCCTGGCTGGCCTAGAGCTCCCTATGTAGACCAGGCTGGCCTCCACCTCACAGAGATTCCCCTACCTCTATCTCCCAAGTGCTGGGATTAAAGGTGTGTACCATGATGCCTAGCTCAGTCCTTCTGTTTATGAAAGCTCAGGCTAGCCATCCTCCTGCCTCGGCCTCCCTTGTGCTGGGATTACAAGTTCTACTGTACCCAGCTGGACGAGCCGTTTTTAACTGCGTTGTGACTGACTTAACTAGATGAGTATTTCTAGATACCAGCCATTGCTGTCTAGGCCCAAGTCCAGTGTTCTCCCACAGAGAAGCCTGTGCCACAAATCACTAATGATATTTCTGTTTGTCCACTACTTCCTGAAGTTGAGAAAGGCCTTTATAATATGTGAAAGAATTCTAAAATTTTACCTTAAGAAAAGGTAAAATTTTACCTTAAGAAAAGGTAATTCTAAAACTTTACCTTAAGAAAATCAAATCTTGGGGCTGGAAAGATGGCTCAGAGGTTAAGAGCCCTGGCTGCTCTTGTAGAGGCCTGGATCTGGTTCCCAGCACTCACATGATGGCTAACAACTATCCATAACTCCATTTCCAAGAGATCTGTTGCCCTCTTCTGGCCTCCATGGGTATTGCATGCATGGGTGCTCTTTGAGCTATCCAAAGTGAGGATACTGCTAACATTTGTTGTTCTCCAAAGAGTTAAAGGGGCACTCTTGATAATTTACTGTTTTAGACATTCCATACAGTTACTTTTTTTTAAAAAAAGTTCACTCTCTTAAGCATTAAGATATTATCCATCAAAAAAAAAATTAAAAATCACATTTTTCTGGATTAGTGAAATGACTCAGCAGGTAAAGGTACTTGCCACTGAGCTTGACGACCTGTGTTTGAACCCCAGGGCGCACATGGTAGAAGGAAAGAATGGATTCCTGCAAGTTGTCCTCTAACCTCCACATCTACACCTACATACAAAATAAGATCAGTAAACGTAAAGAAAATCACACTGTGTGATACCAGCATTTGGGAGGTAGAGCAGAGAGATTAGGACTCAAGGCCAGCCTTGACTACATGAAACCCTGTCTTAACCATGCATCGGGGCTGACTTACCCTTGTCTTTGAATACCTGTGATCTGTCTAGCCATTGATGTTCATAGGATGACCCTAAATACAAATATCCAGTTTTAATTTGTTTATTTCGACTTCCAATTCAACATATTCTGGTCTTTTGGGTTTTGAATTTAAATTTACATTTGACTGCAATCAATTTAAATGTAAATTTATACTAAGTTTACACTGAATTTTTTTTTTTTTTTTTGGTCTTTTTGAGACAGGGTCTCCCTGTAGCCCCAGCTGTCCTGGAACTCACTATGTAGACCAGGCTGTCCTTGAACTCACAGAGATCCGCCAGCCTCTGCCTCCCGAGTGCTGGGATTAAAGACCTGTGCCACCACGCCTGGCCTTACACTGAAATTTTTAGTCTTGATTGCAGTTGACGCTATAGACAATGTTAAGAGTTTTGGAAATCTTTGTAACCATAGGGTTGGTGTGAAGACCTTTGACTGGCAGGTGAGCCCTCAGGGGCTCACATCCACTGTGGATAGCATGGTACTCACACAATCATCCTCCTGTCTCTACAGCGAGGCTCCCTCCTCAGTGAACCTGCAATCCAAGTGAGGAGAAAAGGAAAAGGAAAGCAGATTTGGTCTCTGGAGAAGCTGGACAACAGGCTGTTGGATATGAGAGACCTCTACCAGGAGTGGAAGGAGTGCGAGGAGGACAGCCCGGTGCGCATGGGGGTGCTCACCTGGGGGTGGCAGAAAGCATCACGCAGGAGTGAAGGTCACCTGGGTGTGGCAGAAAGCACCACGCAGGAGTGAACTTGCCTGCTTTAGTTGGAAACCGTATGCTTCTCCAGAACTGCTCTGTTTTTAGAGTAAAATTGATTTTGATTCTCTAAATTGTTGAGCTGAGCATGACTTTTAATAGTCAGTGTTTCTCATAGCTTCTTTTTAAACCTCCCATTTCTCTTTGGGTTTCTAGTGGAATTCTCTGTCCATCTGTTAAGTGAGCACATGTCTCTAGGATTGCTCTGGGGTTCTGTCTAGGACAGGAACCAGGCCTTATCAATGTCTCATCCTGCTTCTCAGCATGTTGCATCTTGCAGATAATAATTCCACAGCACGTGCTTTTACGTTCATTGGTGGTACCTTCACGTTTACACCATTAGGAGCATTTTTGAGGAGTTCTGGCCCCAAAGCAGGTGCCACAGCTCTGTACCGCCACTGGTCCTCATGGCAGGCATCCTCGTTCAGGTCGGCTGTGTTCTTGTATGTACTCAAAGTACTAATCCATGCCCTGTGTCTCAGGTTATGTTCTTCTAGACATTGTAATTTCGAGGTAGGGTCTCACTGTATAACCCAGCCTGCACTTGAACTCCTGGCCTTCCTCCCTCAGCCTCTTGAGTGCTGGGATTATAGGGACGCACTACCACATCCTGTTGCATGCCATGCATTTTCAGTCCTTTGAGTCCTGTTTCCACGTGAAGTTGTTTCCTTCCTTAGCCTTTGGCCCTAGCCTCTGATTGTCATCAGCTCAAATGACTTTTCATAGATGGTATTTTTGTTTGTCAGTTTTCTTCTGTGTTCCTCTCCTGCTTCAACTTAGAAATAAATGCAAAAATAAATGCAGAAAACCCAACCGCTCTCCCCCAGTGGGTTTGCCTCTGATGTGTAGCAATGTGTCTAATGATTTGATCGGTATGTATGACACTCCTGCCCAGAAGAAAAATGAAGAGGTTTAGTATAGGCAACTTTTTCTCACAGCCTGGTATTTGTTTGGGGGACAAAATTTCCACATAAAGAAAAGTACTGACCTGTGTTTGGGATTAGCCTCTGGTGGATCAAGGATGTCAGCCACATGCTAAGAGGACGGTGTGTGGCACACAGTGTGGTGCTTCAGCTTGTGCTTTACTTTGCTATAAAGTATGAGTCCGGGCATATTGGTGAAAGTTTAATTACTTGAGTGCACCAAAAGTAGCTCGCCAGATGTGGTTGTTTTTGAAGTCGTATGTTTGAAATCTCTTTCAGGTAATCCGGTCTTACTTCAAGCGTGCTGACCCTTTCTATGATGAGCAGGAAAATCACAGTCTCATCGGCGTGGCCAATGTCTTCCTGGAGACCCTGTTTTATGATGTGAAGTTGCAGTATGCCGTCCCAATCATCAACCAGAAGGGAGAGGTCAGGCTTCGCTGTGCACCTCACTCCTTTCAGAAAGCTGTTCAGGGAACAGTGGGTGGTGACCGGACAGTGTTGCTGTTCAAAATTTTAATTTTCAATTAGTTCTGACAAGTGATGTGTTTGTTTTATTATGAATACCCTTTGTTTCCTATAGGATTTGAAGGAGGTTTTTTCTTTTTTACTTTGAGAGTGGAGCAGCTGTTAGAACTAGCCCTCTGATTTCTCACACGTGGTTAACCTTAGCACAGAAGAGAGGTCTTCACAGGGAGAAAGACCCCAGCCGGAATCCAGTGTTTGCTTTGCCTCCTTGCTCTAGGTGGCAGGTCGGCTGCATGTGGAGGTAATGCGACTCAGCGGGGCAATTGCAGAGAGGATTGCAGGAGGAGATGATGCTGCAGAGGTTGGCTCTGAGAAGGAAGCCCAGGAGAACAGGCTGGTCTGTATGGTAAGGTCCAGCCCATTCTAGAAGAGCCCAAATGAGACCATTTATGAGACTGTAGGTATGTGTGTAGATATTCTTTTTCAAATACTTGAAAAATGCCCTTTCTCAAATAACTGTAGCGATAGTGTTTTAGGGACCATGTTTCATAGTATATCCTGAGATACCAGCTCACCACTTCTGGGGCTCACTTTGTGAGGCTTTGGTCAAGTCACCTGTTTCTTCTGGCCACTCAGCTTCCGTGGTGTGAGCTACTCCTCTGTCTTGCTCTGTGGAGAAGCCCAGCCATTGCATGCCCGAGTCCTCTGACCGCTCCTGTCCCTCAGCTGCTGCCACAGTCTGTTGGCCCAGCTTCTCTGCACCTTCTTACCCAGGTTCACTCAGTATGCTGTGTCTGCTATTGCAGCATACCAGGCCCAGGTCCCGTCTTCTGAGCTTCCTGTGCATGGTTTCCTAATGCTACCATGTGTTCATGTGTTCCTGTGCAGACCTGTGTCAGATGCAAGGATGTAAAGAGGACCAGGTCCCTGCTGTCTGGTAGCTAGGGACGTTCAGGTGTGAGCCAAAGCCTCCAGTGTATGATCCAGTGCTCATAGAGCAGGCCCCTGATGTCTAGGCACACAGAGGAGAGGAGGTTAATGCAGGCAGTAGGGTCCCGAGGAGGTTCTGGAAGAATGAGACCGCAGGAGCCAGTGGAGGGTGCCAGCTGTGCCTGGCCCACAGGTGCTGCGGTATGTTCGTGGGTGGATAGTATGTAGGTCATCCTGTTCCTGGCTTCTGCCACCATGTGGTTGGAGCTCCTTTCTCACTCTGGAGGGCAGAACAGCCCTTCCTGCATTCCAGACACCCCTAAGTGGACCAGTGCTGCCAGTGGCCCAGAAGCCACACAAGAACCAGTCACAGAGGTTTGGATGACCAGAGATCATCCTGCAGTGTTTAAAAGAGACCGTTAACAGATGAGAGAAGGATGCCTAGGTCAGACTCTGGGTTCTTAACTCATTCTGGGTCCAGCTTCTTCCTCAGTAAATATTCCTAGAAGGTTGAAGTGCATGTTGAAAGAATAAGTCACACATTAGCCACAGGTAGATGGAGAGTTGGGCTGCTTTCTGCACCCAGAGACCTGTGCTGCTCCATGACGTCAGTGGGAGGAGGAATTGCCTGGTTCGTGAACAGCTTCATCTTTGCTGCCCTTGTACTTGATTTTAGAACCTCTTCATCGAGGTCTGTGATTTATTACCAGAGACAGAGACTGGCATTTTGACTCCACATGTCCCATTTCAGGGGTGATAGGTCAGCGATCGCGGCTCTGGAAGGTCAAGTTTCACAGCATACAGTCACATGCATGTACACTGTCTCATTTGAAATTCTGAAAATCACTGAGAAAAGTATATCTGCGCTAACATGACTAATGGAAGATAGCAAACATGAAGACAGCGAGCACAGTGCAGTCAGCTCCCAGTCACCCCCGCTCCGCACCGCCCAGCACTGCCCCCCGTCACCCCCGCTCCGCACCGCCCAGCACTGCCCCCCCAGTCACCCCCGCTCCGCACCGCCCAGCACTGCCCCCCGTCACCCCCGCTCCGCACCGCCCAGCACTGCCCCCCCAGTCACCCCCGCTCCGCACCGCCCAGCACTGCCCCCCGTCACCCCCGCTCCGCACTGCCCCAGCACTGCCCCCCGTCACCCCCGCTCCGCACTGCCCCAGCACTGCCCCCCGTCACCCCCGCTCCGCACTGCCCCAGCACTGCCCCCCGTCACCCCCGCTCCGCACTGCCCCAGCACTGCCCCCCGTCACCCCCGCTCCGCACTGCCCCAGCACTGCCCCCCGTCACCCCCGCTCCGCACTGCCCCAGCACTGCCCCCCGTCACCCCCGCTCCGCACTGCCCCAGCACTGCCCCCCGTCACCCCCGCTCCGCACCGCCCAGCACTGCCCCCCCAGTCACCCCCGCTCCGCACCAGCACTGCCCCCTCTAGTCACCCCCGCAACGCACTGCCCCAGCACTGCCCCTCAGTCACCCCCACTCCCCACTGCGCCCCCCAGTCACCTGCAGTCCTGCACCTCCATGCTCTCACCTCCCCAGAAATGGCTTGAAGTTGCCCAACATCATGTTTCATCTGAGTAGAATGTGTCCCCAAAACCGTGTGTGTTCAAAATAAGTCATCAAAACATCATTCCTTAGCACTGTGATGTATGGGTTTCTTAAGTTTCTTTGCTGATTTCACCCAGGTTTCTTTTAATCTCTAGGTTCTGCTCTCCCCCTCCCCCCCCTTTCTCTCCTTCCCTCCCTCCACCTTCTCTCCCCTTGTGGTTTATTTGGTATAAAGCCTAGGTTGTTGCCCTTTGGACTCTGCTGATCACTGTTGCTTGATACAGTTGTTGAGCTGCCTTAGATGTGGGTTGCTGGCTAGATATGAAGTACTGTGTGGTAGAAGAGCAAATGGTACATTTTTCTATCAAAATTACTGATTTTGAAAGTCTTGATATCTTAATGAACTCTTAGACTTAACATACGTGTTGCAATCCTTTGTATCCATTAGCTGTGTTAAGTTCTAGTGTTCCCAAATTTGAGTGACTGCAGCCACTTTAGTTGGGTCTTGATTCCTGCAGACATTTCCTGAGCCTCACCGACTGACCCTCACGGACTGACCCTCACAGACTGATTGCTCTTGGGTGACAGACATGGTCTCATTCTGTGTACATTCCCTGTCTTGGCCCACAAACCCACTGTTTCTCCAAGGAGTAACGCTCCTTTAAGTGCGAAGCGGTTTTTAGAGATTTTGTCCTACCTGTAAGCTCCCTTTGTGTAGAAAAGGCAAAGACAGATAGCCATGTGCTGTTGAACAGAGTAGCAGTGTGGAGTCAGCCTGGAGACGCGAGACACCGAGAGTCATGGAAACCACGGGCCAGACAAGAAGTCCAGAGGGTTTTTTCCATGATGAAAGAATGTGCCCATATTTATATTTTCAGAGACATTAAATTAAAAGCCCCACTCTTTGGCTGTTCTGCATTGAGCTGCAAGTTGAGTGTGGTATTCTGACACCTTGTGGTGATTTTAATTTTTGTATGCAAAAACTTCAACAATAACAACACCCTCCCCCAGACCCCTTGGATTCTGATATCTGGCCATTCCACACCCCCTGGGTTCTGATACCTGGCCATTCCACACCCCCCTGGGTTCTGATACCTGGCCATTCCACACCCCCTGGGTTCTGATACCTGGCCATTCCACACCCCCGGGTTCTGATACCTGGCCATTCCACACCCCCTGAGTTCTGATACCTGGCCATTCCAGACCCCCTGGGTTCTGATACCTGGCCATTCCACACCCCCTGGGTTCTGATATCAGGCCATTCCACACCCCCTGGGTTCTGATACCTGGTCATTCCTCTTTCCCAGTGTTCTTCAGTCCTGGCAGCCTCAGTCCCCAGGAGTTGCTTTTAGAGAGCAGGTCAGCATATGCAGGCTTGTTTTTTGCTCATTTCTAAGCTGGGTTGAGCTGAACTAATGTAGGAAGGAAATGGCTTTCAGATGGAATTCCATCCCAGATCAGTGTGTGGATGTCCCGCTCAGTGTGGGACCTGCTGTCATTCCCCTCATTGGTGTGGCTGGCCCCCTTCCTTCTAGGAGAAAGCTAAGCCTGAGACAGCACAGATTTGAACTGACACTGGCTCACAAGCTAGAGAGAGGTGTGTCAATGACAAGATTGTGGAGGTACGCAGGTCTTCCCCCATACCACACTGCCTCATTTAGAGAATGTAAGAAACATTTTTAAACATGTGGAGGAAAAATGTTTAAAATTTTTTCATGAAAAATTTATCATAGAATGTTGATGGCTTGGCTTGGTGGCTTGGCTTGGTGTGGAGAGAAAATGTCAGTCTTTGATAGCTTGTCAGGGGATTGTTACCTGTGGGCTTCAAGCTGTCGATGTCACAGAAAGATTGAATTAAAATGGAGCTGCTGTTTGTTGTTGACCCCTTTTGTACATGTTACACAGGAAGTCTGCTTCTTGTGATTTTGTGTCCTTAACAACCCTTAAATGTCAAGGTTATATTGGAGGTTGCCGGACTGTGTGAATGTACACCACGGAATCTTTATTTTCATTAAGTTTATTTACTAGATGTAGAATGAATCAGGCAACATACAGAAAATGACCAGGTGAAGAGCGCTGCTTATGACCAGTGCTCAGTTGTGTGAAAATTGGCTTAATCATGACATCAGAACGTAACATAACTCAGTAAGCTTAGGGTTTAGTGTACTTCATAATTGGAGTTTTATACTATTCACAAGTTACCACCGAAACTCCAAATTGAAAATCAGATGCTGCCACAAAGAGAAATATGAAGAATGTTTGGCTACTTTAAGATCTGTTAAAGGAACTGGGTATGGTGGTGCACACCTTAAATCCCAGCACTTGGGAGGCAGAGGCAGGCAGATCTCTGTGAGTTCCAGGCCAGCCTGGTCTACATAGTGCGTTCCAGGCCTGATGGGGCTACAGGCAGACCCAAAAAGACCAGGAAAAAAAAAATCTGTTAAAGGAAGCTGGAGAGGTGGCTCAATGGTTAGGAGTATTTGCTGCCCTCAAAGGACCTGAGTTTACTTCCCAACACCCACACTGGGTGATTCACAACTGCTTGCAAGTCTAGCTCCAAGGAATATGATACCCGCTTCTGGCCTCCACAGGTACCTGTACATGCATGGCATTCACAACACACACACACACACACAAATAAAAATAATGGGGCTGGAGAGATGGCTCAGTGGTTAAGAGACTTTGCTGCTGTTCCATAGGACTGGGGTTTAGTTCTCAGAGCCCATGTTAAGCAGCTTGCACCTGCTTGTACTGCCAGTTCACGGGGTTCTGACACCCTCTTCTGGATTCCACAAGCACCTACACTCGTGCACATACCCACACTCATACATATACATATACACATAATTTAAAAATGGCTGGGTATGGTGGCACATGCCTTTAATCCCAGCACTTGGGAGGCAGGTGGATCTTTGTGAGTTCGAGGCCAGCCTGGTCTACATAGTGAGTTCCAGGATAGCTGGGGCTACAAGGTGACCCTGTCTCAAAAAAGACCGAAAAAAAAAAAAAAGTGATAAAAATAGGGGCTACAGAGATGGCTCAGCAGTTATGAGTACTGGCTGCTTTTGCAGAGGACCCAGGTTCAGTTCCCAGCACCCATATGATGGCTAACAACCATCTGTAACTCCAGTCCCAGGGGGTCCTATACCCTCCTTGGGCCTCCACGAGCACTGCATGACATGAGTGCACTTACATAAATGTAGGCAAAGCACTCATACCCATAAAATAAAAATATAAAATTATTAAAGTGGGGCTGAAGAGACGTCTCAGCAGTTAAGAGCACTGGCTGCTCTTCAGAGAACCCAAGTTTAGCTCCCAGCACACACATGGCAACTAACAACCACCTGTAACTCTAGTTCCAGGGGACCTGACACCTTCTGGCTTCCATGGGCATTGCATGCACATGGTGCACTTACATGCATTCAGGCAAAACATTCATACACATAAAAAAAGATAAATAAATCAATTGAAAAATTGAAAGCATGATAAAAATAAGTATTAGAAGGAAGACCTGTTCCAGGTGTGTGTCAGGTGTGGGGTCTGACGAGGCACCAGCTTCTGGCTCTGCTTCATTGTCGTGGGCTCCGTGGTCCTGGTCCTTTCCTTTGAATGCTTCCCCATCCTCTGCATGGGGAAGGCGTTGTAAATGTCAGTGCAGAATACAGTATCTTCTCCCATTCCATTCTCCCTCCAGATCATCAAGGCACATTCTCGGTGCTGAAATTCTAACAGTGATAATCAAGCTGCAGCCACATGTGGCATTTCTGTTTCAGAACCGCTTCCTCTTCAGATCAAGTACGTGTCTTCCCTTTCCTGAGTATTTGCTGCTTGATTGACTCAGACACCAATTTTCATCTTCCCTCACTGAACCGAACAGCTTTGTTCTTTCCTTCTGAAGTGCTGAACGGCGTTGATTTCTGAGAACTTTCTTCTGAATTGATGATGATGATGTCCTTTTGTTCTGACAGACTAGAATTCTGATGCTGCTCGCAGCCTCTAAATGCTGCACAGCACCCACCATGGTGATCAGGCCATCGTTGCCCAGTGCCAGGCCTCTGGTGTGATAATCATGGTCATGGCTCTGTGCAGGACAGTCCCCACAGCAAATGGGAAGTGGACAGAGTAGAGCAGCAGTTAGTGACAGTCAGGACAGGAGCTCTACCATGCATCTCTGACTCCAGGTACTCCTTGGAACCTGATGGTTAAAAAACAAACAGAGCCTTCTTTGCCTTTCAGGTTAAAATACTCCAGGCCACTGGGTTGCCACAACATCTGTGCCACTTTGTATTCTGCAAATACGACTTCTGGGATCAGCAGGAGCCAGTGACCGTTGCCCCTGAAGTGGATACCTCCTCGTCTCCTACCAGCAAGGAGCCGCAGTGCATGGTTGTCTTCGATCACTGCAGTGTGAGTTCCTTCGTGGTCGAGATCAGTGTCTGGACTACTGACATATGAACAAAACTGTACAGCGAGCTGCTTCAGACATTTGTGCGCTGTGTGGCTTGGAGTGGTGTCCCAGGCCCAGAGCCCAAGTATCAGTTCATTCATCACGCCCACAATCAGACAGTAACTTTGTGTAAAGAAAAGGTCCTTAGATGTATATGTGAGTACTCTTCTCCAGAGGGACTCCATGTTTTATGAAAGAGGTTAAGAAACTGTCACATAAAACGTTAAAAACTAGTGTTTTAGCAAAAATGAAGAAAGCAGTCAAGAGAGCGCCCTGTTGAGCACCCCATGCTCTGCTGAGCACTTGGCTGTTCTGCCCGTCCTTACCAGTTGATGATGGTGCTTTTGTCGGCCGAAGAAGCCCCAAGAGGTTCATTTGTTCATAGCAGCGATAGTCGCTTTGCTTTGACTACTGACCAACAGGACTCCTGGTGGCTCCAGAGTCATTTTTGCTGCTACTCCACACTTGACTCATCTCACTTTTTGAAGAATGGGGTTTGTCCCTAATCTGTGTAGAGCAGAGATGCATCTTCAGTACATTAGATAAGGACAGAAGGTGTGAGAGGAAACACCCAGGAGACAGGGATTCCATAAAGTTAACCTGGTTTCAGAGTGAAATCCTAATTGCAAAATGCTGTCTGATGCAAATGGAGAGGTTGGGAGAATTTTTAAAATTAGATGTTTTTCTTACCACTAATCATTATTTCTCCCCCCACCTTATTTATTTATTTTTTTATCTTTTTGAGACAGGGTCTTCCTGTAGCCCCAGCTGTCCTAGAACTCACTATGTAGACCAGGCTGGCCTTGAACTCAGAGATCTGCCTGCCTCTGCCTCCCGAGTGCTGGGACTACAGGTGTGCGCCACCAGGCCTGGCTACTTCTTTTCCTTTTTATGTAAGGTAGTTAGCTCCCAAAATACTGGGAGAATGATTTTTTGTAACATACTACCTGCTGCATGTAGTAACCTTTATTTAATTTTTATTTATTTATTTTAATTTTATGTGTAAGAGTGTTTTGCCTGTATGTATGTAAGTACACCCATGTGTTCAGTGCCTGCAGAGGCCAAAAGAGGTCATTGGATCCCCTGGAACTGGAGTTACTGATGGTGCTTAGCCACCATGTGGGTGCTGGGAACCAAACCCAGGTCTTCTGCAGGAACAGCCAGAGCTCTTAACCGCTGAGCCGTCTCTCCAGCCCCAGTCATAGCTATTTTTAAAAGCAAGACTGTTGCTTCTGCACACCCTCAGGGGTATCAGGTGACAGTTCTGTTCAATACCCAAAGCATGCTGTTGTCCGTTTCTTTCCTCCTTGGTATAATTAAGTACTTGATGTCTGGTAGAGGTAGTCAGAAGACCAACAAGTGTGTGCTGCTTTGCAATGAGCTGTTGTGTTTCAGGAGTTTTCTGTTAATATCACTGAAGACTTCATTGAGTATCTTTCGGAAGGAGCCTTGGCTATTGAAGTATATGGGCATAAAATGAATGATCCTCGGAAAAATCCAGCCCTGTGGGATTTGGGAATCATCCAAGCAAAAACAAGGAGTCTTCGGGACAGGTGAATTTTCTGTATCCACTGGATTCAATTTCTATTTTTTAAAAAAATTGCTAGAGATCAATACTGTCATTTATTATTTATCATTTTTTTCTTGTCTATGTGTGTGTTTTATGCATGTGTGCATGTGTGCGTGCGTGTGTGCATGTATGAGGGTATATGTGTGTGCTTTCACTCATGGGGACCAAACTTGATATTGGAAGTCACAGAGATCCTCCTGCCTCTGCTTCCTGAGTGCTGGGATTAAAGGTGTGTGCCACCATTCCCAGCTGACATTGGAGATTTCCCTAGATCATCCTCCACCTCACTCATTGAGGCAAGGCCTCTTAGTCGAACCCAGAGCTTGCCAACAGGGATGGCCTGGTTAGCCAGCTTGCTTCAGGCTCTCCTGTGTCGACTTGCAAGCGTTGGATTTACAGGCGGGCTGTCACAGCTACCTGACATTTACGTGGGTTCTGGAGCTCCAGACCCCCTGCTCAGACTTGTGCAGCAAGCGCTTTAACTACTGAGCCATCTCCTCACCCACCAACACTTTGGAAACTAAATGTTGCCACTTCCTACACACCATCAGCTTTCTGGGTAGGTAGAATCATGTAGCTCTTCAAGGGGTGACAGAGACGGTGCTTCGGAGGGAGGTCACTTGCTGCTGAGGGTTTTCTGTTCATCAGCCGTGGAGAGATGAAGTTGCCGCAGCCTGTGTTTACTTCGTCTCCCGCTCACAGGTTTTTCCTTGGTGGTGGTTGCCTGTTTGAGTTCATGCTGCTGGGGTTTGAACAAAGGGCCTTGCACATGCTGGGCAAGCACTGCCCAGTGCCCCACCCGCAGCCCTTCCCAGCTCCTTGATAGGAGTAGTAGACATGTTGTTGACGTAAATGGAAGAGCTGAGGGAACGGCTGAGACAGAAGCTGTTTTTACTTTGGTCTAATTATAGGTGAGAAACAGATTTTCCTTTTTTTCTTTTTGCATTAAGAAAGTTTTAGTAAACCCTAAATTGGAAGGTGAGTTTTTTTCCCTTGATTCTCGAACTGACCTGAGAACAGATCCCTGTCAAGTCTCTGAGCTGCCACTGTTTTCTGTGAGCAGAGGGTCCTTGTACTTTCTGAGTACCTGATGAGATATTTCAGTTATCGAATAACTATTTGGGGATAGATTTGCCATTATCTTTATTTTTTATGTGGTATGCATGTATGGAAGTGTATGTGTGCACGTGTGCATGCACATAAAGGCCAGATGTTGACATCAGGTGTCTTCCTCAATTGCTCTGCACCTTAGATATTGAGGCAGAATCTCTTACTTGAACCCAGAGCTCCCTGATTTGGTGAGTCTAGCTAGCCAACTTGCTCTGGGGACTCACTTGTCTCTGCTTCCCGTGTGCTGACATTACAGGTTGGCCATTTATGTGGGTTTGAACTCTGGTTCTCATGTTTTTACCTGTGGAGTCATCTCTCCAGCGCCACATTGCAGTGTCTGTCAGAACAACCAGTGGCTAGAGATGTAGCTCACTGGTAGAGACTTGCTTAGTATATGAAGGCCACCCAGGTTAATCCCCAGCAACACAAAACAAGCAACCACCACCAAAGAAGCCGTTTCTACTTCTGATGTTGTTGGTTTGAATTTGTTCTTCATTGTATCTGTTAGTATGTGCTTATACATTTCTTTTTAAAAATATTTTCTTATTTTTTATTTTATGTGTGAGTGTATTGCCTGCATGTTTGTAAGTGCACCCATGTTGTGGAATGCCCATGTTGTGGAATGCCCGTGGAGGGTGAGGTCAGAAGTGGGTATAGTATCCCCTGGAACTGGAGTTACGGATGGTTGTGAGCCACTATGTGGGTGCTGGGAATTGAACACAGGTCCTCTACAAGAACAGCTAGTGCTCTTAACCACCGAGCCATCTCTCCAGCCCCACTTGTACATTTCTTTTCAAGAGCATTCCACTGAGTCACTCTGTTTACAGGTCATTCTCATTGTTAAGTCAAGCTGAAGATCCTAGGGTTCCTGTATTTGAATAGAATGGGATGATTTAGGGGCTGGAGATGTGGTTTGGTTGGTAGCATGCTTGCCTGGCATGCATGAAGGGTTGGAGTTGATTCCTATCCCTGTGCATACTGTGTGGTGCTGCACACTTGTAATCCCAGAAGGAGGCAAGGGATCCAAGGTTCAGGTTGTCTTTGTTATGTAGAGTTTGAGGCCAGCCTGGGCAAGATGAAACTCTGTCTTAAAAAAAAAAAGTATAATTAAAAAAAAAGTATAATTTCCCAAGAACTGCATGTGTTTCCTAGGTGGAGCGAAGTCACCAGGAAGTTGGAATTCTGGGTTCAGATCTTGGAACAGAATGAGAATGGAGAACACTGCCCTGTGGAAGTGATTTCTGCCAAGGACGTCCCAACAGGGGGCGTCTTCCAGCTCCGGCAGGTACCGAGATTGCTGTTGTTCATAGTAAATTCCTTGGCACTGGAAGGCTTATACTGGATTCTTTTACCAGAAATGTCGATGGCAATGAAAAGCACACCGGCCAACTCCATTTCTTGTTCAAATTGCTCCCACCTCACTGCCGTTCTTTTACTGTTGAGTCTTGGTACTTGTGATATCTTAAAGGCAGTTACTGAGAGGGTTAAGGAAAAGATAAGCCTTTTTTTTTTTTTTTTTAACATCTTATTTATTGTGTGTGTGTATGTGCGTGTGTGCATGCATGCATGAGTGAGCATGTTTGAGCAAGCTCACATACCACTGTACATGTATAGAGTTCAGAGGACAACTTTTAAGTGTCGGTTCTCTCCTTCTACCATGTGGGTCCTGAGGATTAAGTCCTGAGGATTTAGTCCTGAGGACTAAACCAAGGTTGTCAACTTTGGCGACGGGTGCCTTTACCTGCTGAGCCATCTCTGTGGCCCTCCAGAAAAAGAAAAAGAAAAAAAAAATAAAAATTAAAGGAAAAAACTTAGAATTGAGTGGTAAGTCAGAAAACAAACATATTAAGCAATATTCACACATTCATGGACTCAAGGAAAAGTGGTTCAACATGGCAGAAAAATGATCATGCAAGGCCTGACCTGCTGGCTCACTGCTGGCCCTGCTGTGTCTGAGCTGTGTACCTGTGAACACCTTCCATGTCCTCTCCCTCCACCTGGACTGAGGAGAGGGGTTGGCACCAGCTTCATGGGGTTTGTATGAGAATTAGGGAGTGCTGGGCAGAGTGCTTGACACTGAGTGGGTAAGAATGCTCAAAGAGCCAGGCAGCAGAGGGCGCTGTGCCTGGTCAGTCAGGCACGTCACCATCTCTCAGTCTGCACTGCCAGCAAACAGTGATGAGGAAATCCTCTCTTCTAGTTAATATTTTTGGTTAGCGTACAGAGTCATGGACTTCACTTTGACAGTTTCATACATATGCCTCCTGCTTCTTAACCCCTGTCTTGCTGGTCTTCTCCCCCGAACTGTCGCCCCTTCTGTGTTCATGCCACGTGTTCCAAAGAGTGAAAAAAATTCTTCATATAATTTGCATAAATGATCTGGAGATTCTCTTTTTGCTTTGCATTGTTCAAACATCCAGTAGACTACTGCGTACTCTGTTTCCATACTTTAAAACATATCAGGGAGCTGGAGAGGTGGCCCAGCGACCAAGAGCGCTTGCCGCTCTTCCAGAGGACCCAACTTTGGTTCTCATTAATTAAAATAAATCTTAAGGGGGCCGGAGAGATGGCTCAGCAGTTAAGAGTACTGACTGCACTTGCAGAAGACCCGGGTTCAATTCCCAGCACCCACATGGCGGCTGCGAACCATCCTTAACTCCAGTTCCAGGGGACTCTGAAGCCCTCTTCTGACCTCTGCGGCATTGCATGACATGGGTGCACTCACATACATACAGGCAATACACTCATACACATAAAATAATAAAAAATATAAAAAAAATATTAGAATTTCTCTAGAAATGAACATTCAAAGAATTTATATGCTTTAATATTTAAATTTCTTATGGTTTTGGAAGGTGGAAGCAGGGGCTGGAGGGATGTCTTGGTGGTTAAGAGCCATCTTATAGAGGACCCAAGTTTAGTTCCCAGTATCCACATCAGGCAGCTGACAACCACCCATAAGTCAAGCTCCAGGGGATCCAGTGCCTTTTTTTGGGCCTCTGTGGGCACCTGCACTCATGTGTACATACGCACACAGATATGCAGTTTGAAATAAAATATATTTTAAAGGAAGGGGGAGGCAAATGAATTTTAGCAGATGCACAGATGCATTCTGCATAGGCAGTAGACTTAAATAAAGCAGAGTATCAGCCATGGTGTGCGGGTGCTCCTGAAGAAGAATTTTTACGGTGTGAAGAACATCTTTTTCTGGGCATCTCTGAAAATGTACACATCTTGTAGAAAGTTATCTACTGGAAGCCAGGCTCAATGATATTTTGCAGCTTAGTGTCCGTTGGATATTTAAGTGTTTACCATACTCCCGAGCCCTTTCCAGAAAGTATTCAAAGATGTCTTTGGTTTGTCAGGAAGGACTTCAGTGAGGATGGGCATCCTCATCCCAGTGCCAAAAAAAGTCCAGCAGAGTCTGTACAGGTCTTTCCTATGCAGATGGTAGGACCCTGAGGCAGGAGTCTGTTTAGTGGAGGCATGGGCAGGAGGGGCTGGAAGGCAGAAGCAGAGGTGGTCACAGAAGCCTGGGTGGCTTGCTGGGTCCACTGCAGTTTGATATGTTTAAAATCGGGACCTACTGTTCTTAGGACAGTGGCAGGGGAACGGGCTGGTTTAACCATGGGGGAAGTGCTGTAGGAAGCTGGTGGTAGCGGCAGTGGCTACAGGAGTGGGGTACTGGTTGAAGTATGCTTTCCAAAGCTTTCCACGGAACAGCCGGCCAGTTTAGACCTGTACTTGCCTTGTCTTCCTACTGTGTCTCAAATCTTCCCTTACTGTGTGTGTTGCCTTTCACACTGAGTAGGTCAGATAAACAAGAGGCAGCTACTTGAAGGGATAAAGCTATCTTTGACTATTAAAATGTTTTCTGGGGGACTGGAGAGATGGCTCAGTGGTTAAGAACACTTCTGCTCTTGCAGAGGACCTACCTGGGTTCGGTTCCCAGCATCCACGTGGCAGCTACCAACCATCCTTAACTTCAGTTCCAGGGATCCAGTGCCCTCTTCTGACCCACACGGGCATTGCATGATGTGGGTGCACTTAAACACATGCAGGCAGTGCACTCATACACTTAAAATAATAAATAATAAGAACATTAAAAATTGTTTTCTGGGTTGGTGAAATAGCTCAGGGGGCAAAGGTGCTTACCACCTGAGCCTAAGAGCTGAGTTGTCCCTGGAACCCTGGGAAAGGTGGAAGAAGAGAACTAACTCCCTGGAGTTGTCCTCTGACATCTACTTGAATGCTGTGGCACATGTGCCCTATACATTATACATGCACACAATAATAGTAATGGTAATGAAAACTTTAAATGGAAAATGTTTTCTGAGGGTTTTTTCCTGGCAAATATCTTGTACATAGTCTTGGAAATGATCAGACCTGAAGACCTCTGCACGCTGCCTGTCCAGATGTCCCATCTGTCCAGGTGGAATTGACAGACTCTGGCTGTGTCAGCAGACTGTCCTGCCCCTGCAAAACTCTTGGGAGCTAAAATGTGATGGAGAAGGGCAAGAGTAATTGACTTGAAAATTGGATATTCAAATCCGTTTTTCAAAGGCTGTTATCTGTTCCTAAAATTTAGACCAAATTTGAGGTCAGTGGCTGGGGAACGCCGAGACTCTTTCTCGGTGTTTCTCACTGTAAACATGCGGAGTCACTGGGTTATTCTGGGAATACCCTCCTTCTGATCACTTTGTTTTTTAGTTTAATTAAAAATTGTTTTTTATTCTAGGAGGAGGACAGTGAGTCTGAGGAGGCACTAGCCTTTCTTTTTTCTAACTCTATTGATTTTTATTACGTTTATTTATTAGTGTGTGTGTGCGCATCCAGGCAGATCAGCTCTGCTTGTTTTTAAAGCCAGACTGTAGACTGATTTTGATCATCTGCGCTGTAACTTCATATGCCACATGGGCTTTTCTGCAGTAATAATCAATGACTGTATAGTGTCTATAATTTAAAGTTATCAATGTTATGAATTTAATAGTACCTAACATTCTGTACCTAATATTCTGTGATTCTTCATACTGTTTCCAGATTGCTGATGCATGTGCTTGATTGTTTATTTAGAACATGTCCATAGAAAGGTGTATTGCTGGAGCAAAGGTTACTCAGGTTTTAAAATTATTCCTGTCCCACAGTGTATATTGCCTGTTTCATAAACCTTGGTCTGTTATGGAAATACTTTCTAGTTTAACAAGCGAAAAGAAAAGGAATCATACGTTATCAGTAAGTTGGTCTCACTATGTACCATTAGCTGACCTGGATCTCACTATGTAGTCCAGGCTGACCTTGAGCTTTCAGAGATCCTCCTACCTTTGTCTCCTGAGTCCTGGGATTACAGGTTGCACCACTGTGGGTGGAGCAGTTGAACATTCTTTATTAGACACTGTTTACATTTCCTTTGTTAGTCTGTTTCCTTTGATCTGGGTCTAGTGCCTCAAGGTTGTAATCCCAGCACTAGGCAGGCTGAGCCAGTAGGCTGTCTCAAGTTCAAAATCAGTTTGAACTACATAGTGAGTACTATGCTAGCCTGAGCTACATAGTAAGACCCTGTCTTTCAAAAAACAAAACAAAAGTTTCCTTTTAGTGTTTCTAATTATTGAAGAAATATTTTTAAAAAACCCAACCATTTCGTTTTTCTATCTGCTTAAGGAAAATACATTTTCTTGACTAGGTTTGACCTGTATTGTAGTATTTAACAGTTATGAGACAGGTGAGTGTCTCCAAAGTTAAACGTTTTTCTCAACATTAGCCTGTAGGGGTCTCTCTAAACTATAGTTTTGAAAACCCAGAAACTGATTTTTGAGTTCCATAATCTGTGCTCCAGGGGCAGTCCCGGCGAGTTCAGGTTGAGGTGAAGTCTGTACAGGAGTCGGGGACCTTACCACTCATGGAAGAATGCATATCATCAGTTGGCATCGGATGTGTGAGAGTTAGACCGCTCAGATCCCCTAAGATCCAGGAGAACTTCCACGTAAGTTTCTACACCTGCTTTGTGCTTGTTGAAAGACAAAAGCAGACCAGAGTCTTGTGCAACACTGCTTTCCTGAACACTTCTGTCGGCATCCCTGGCTCTGCCTTTGAGGTTTTCTTGTCTGGCCTTGGCCCAGGATCCCTGTACTAGACTCTTAGGCTTTACCCTGATGTGTGGTGAGCTGAGAGTTAAAACCTCTCAGCCTGGCAAACCACTAAGCCTAACAGTGATTAACCTCCTCCCGAGGCCCACCCCTCTGCCAGACCCCCCACTGGCTAGTAAAGACTCTTTGCCAGCAGGTGTTTGATTTCCCCCAGTGCAAGGGGTTGTAAACCCAGCAGGGAAAGCATTGTACTGTCTCCGAAAAGGTCAGAGGAGCCTCTTCATTTCCCCCAGAAGCACCTAGTCTTACCAACTTCCTGACAACCCAGGGCTTGAGTGCTGGGGTGGGTGGGCCACTGTGTGGTGTATCAGTTAAATCAAAATTCTGAACTATGAGAGAAGTTTGAGATAGTGAGTGGAGGCCTGATTTGTGGACAAATGATTGTTTTGGTTCTACATAACATACTGTTTTCTTTTAGGAGGAAGAGGAGGACATGGACAGCTACCAGGTAATTGAGCACCTGTTGGCCTCATCAAATCAGCTTGATTAAAGTGCTTAATTACACAGGCCAGGATCTTGCTGTACCGCTACTTGATAATTAAACAATTCTGACTCAAATGCTGCTTTTTCCCAAACTAAAACAAAGCAGAAAATGCTGTGTTCTGTCTCTCGCTGTGGAGGGCGCACGCTAGGAGGAGTTGGCCCTGCGATGGGGTCATTTCCTAGGCCGGGGTCCCAGTCAGCCTTCTGCACCAGCTGTCTTCCAGCTGCTCTTCCTGGACTCCCCTTGAGTCCCCACCCAGGGGGCTGCCCTGGACCCTGAATGCCCACTTCCTTGAGTTGTCCAGGGGTTTGTTTACCCGTTTCTTTTCTTTGCCTAATCTGCCAGATTTTGTTTATGTCTATGAAGTTCCATCTTGTTAGTCATCATTTAGGACTGCCCGAGCTCTTTGGAGCCTGATTATGTCATCCGCTGTAGTCACTCTCCTGGCTTTGCATCATCCTAATTTGATAGAAATGTCTGCCTTCCTATAAGTCACTGATAAAAAAAAGAAAAAAACCCATCGTGTCAGCTGGGGTTAAATGCAGAGTCCCATGGCACCACCACGGAGACTTCTTTTAAGTGGACATATCCCATTCATCACTGTTCTTTGGATGTGATATTTGAGTCCTCTGTGACTCCATTCAAAGGAGATGCACAGCACGTTTCTCCATCTTGTCCACAAGAATGTCATAGGCTATTTGGTTAAGTGCCCTGGTGAGATCCAGACCCCTGGCATCTGCAGCATTCCTCTGACCTGCCTGGTCCTTAACCATATTAGCAAAGGAAATGAGGTCAGGTTGGCGCACTGGCAGGTGTTGACTGGTAGAGTTTGGTCTGTCAATAACAACCCCTGTCCTCTCGCCTCACCCCTACCTCCCAAGCACACATCTTTGAGAGCCTAGTGAGACACGGAAGGGAGTAGCTGGAAGTGTAAAGGATTCTTTCTGAGGATTATTGAGTACACTTTGTGAGTTCTAGCTCCAAAGCGACCTTATGGATGATCTTTGTTTCTAGTGGTTGGAATTCAGCAGGTACAAATAGAACTAATTCTAGGTACTATAGAGACCGTCCTCTAGAACATAATGCTTTCTGTTCTGAGTGTTTCTGACCTGACTTGTGGGTAGAGTCTCTTGGTTGTACTGGATGTTGGGCTGGGGATGTAGCTCAGATGTGAGTGCTTGCCTAGCATGCAGGAAGCCCTAGATTCACTCTCCGTGCCCAGCATATGTGGGGCATGGTTGCGCAAGCCCGTAATCTTAGCACTCGAGAGGTGGGAGCAGGAAGAACAGAAGTTCAAGATCATCCTTAGCTACATATTGAGAGTTCCAGGCTAGTGTGGGTTTTATAAGACCCTTTCACAGACAAACAGGGCCTCACTGCATGCTGCTTATGTTTCTGAGTTCCGTGACAATGAGGTGGGAGCGTCTGTCTCAGACATATTGCCTCCACACTACACTGAAGGCGGCTCCCGTTTTCTTCTAGGATCGGGATTTAGAGAGGCTACGTAGAAAATGGCTCAATGCATTAACAAAACGTCAAGAATACTTGGATCAGCAGCTCCAGAAGCTTGTCAGTAAACATGGTAGGAAGAGCAAGCCAAACGTTTCTCTCTTTCTGTTAGTGCTTCGTAGCCCTGTTTGTAGCTAAGAGCCAGATGAATGGGGGTGACGAGAACGGATGCATGTTACTTCTGGCTTGGGCCATAGCCTCTCAGAAGAACTTTTATTTGGATGTAATGATACCTTCTTATAGTGCCTTCAGAGAGGGGAGGGGTGGGGAGGGTAGGAACATACAGTGGACCAAGCACACTTTGTTCCTCAAAAGTAACTGAGAGAAAGGTACACGTGTTTCTCGTTGGAGGTCCCAAGAGCTTGGACATTGAGCCAGACCATCATCCCTGCACCAGAGGTCTGTGACCATCAGGCAGCCTCTTGGAAAGATCCTCTCTCCTCCCCTCCCTGACCCCAACCCTGACCCCGACCCTGCCAGAGCTAGTGTCTACCAAAGACAAACATGGAAACGACCAGCAGGTTTCCTGAACCCAATCCTCATCTCTCTCTTCTAGATAAAACAGAAGATGATGCTGACCGTGAGGCGCAGCTCCTGGAGATGCGGTTGACACTCACTGAGGAGAGGAACGCAGTGATGGTGCCCTCTGCTGGCAGCGGCATTCCTGGGGCACCTGCTGAGTGGTAGGAACCATGGTGTCCTCTGAAATTCCCAGGGGTCACCAGGTCCCCTCCCTTTCCATTTGATGTTGGCGGTGCTGCAGTAAATGGCTGATTCATTACAGCATGTGAGAGAGTTGTTTGAATTGAAGGAACTGTGAAATGATTTTCATGAGCTGGCTATGACTGTGGCCTAAAACCTTTATTAAATAATACTGTTATTGGCCAAAGTAATTAGGATTTCTGAGAATTTAAATCAATATTTAGTACCACTGCACTTAGCATTAAAAAGTAGTTAACATGTTAATTACTTGAATCATTCATCCCCTTAAAAAACTATTTGGTTATAAGAAAATTGCAGCTCCACCAAATTTTGGTTTGGGTACTTAAACTCTGCGGTCAGCAAGTGTTCTCTGATGCTTGACAGAAATTAAAAATAGCAAGTAAAGTCACAAGGAGCCCATAAGTTTGTTTAGTGAGAAAGGAAGTTTAAACAGGTTTCACTGTGAACTGGTAAGATGGAGTCTCAGTGTCTTAGTGCACAGAACGCAGTTCCTCACATCAACTTAGAGTGAAATCAGTGTCCCAGGCCTTTGTCACTTGAGTGTGTTCAGCTAAGTCCTGGTGTGCTACTGAGACTGCTGTGTCTGAGGTGGCGCCTGTCCTTCGTGTTCTAGGACCCCAGTGCCCGGGATGGAAACCCACATTCCTGTTGTATTCCTCGACTTAAACGGTAAGTTAGCAGGGCTCAGAGGCTTGCCTTGATAAAGAGCTGGCAGAGTGCCGCTTTAGATTAGATTCTACTGCCCATGTTGTTTGGTTTTGATCACCCTGAGGTTGGGGTCAGTGCTGCGTGTGCCACACTCTGATGCTGAACAGACTTGAGATGTTTCTCATTCTCACCCCCTCTGCCCACAGTACTGGGGATTGAACCTGGGGCCTCACACATGCTAAGTAAGTGCTCTGCCCCTGAGCTGCAGCCCAGTCCCTGTGCATCCCAGGTTTGTAGCAGTGACGAGCGTGTTCACCGTGCACACTCTCCATCTCCTGGCTGCGGCTCTCTGCCTGTGAGCATGCTTCATTCTCCATCAGTGTAGGTCGGCTATCTGTACTGAAGATACTTGTGACTTTAACTCCTTGGGAAATTATTCTCTGGAAAGGACTAATAACTAGGGATACTATGTTTTCACAGCATTATTTGATGATTTTCTCACCGTTTCTGTGAGTTCCTGTGAACTTATCCCTGCTTGCTTTTTGTTTAAAATAACTGTTGTTTTCTCCCCCGACCCATGGGCTCTGTCAATAAGAGAGAAAATAGAAACTGTGTAAGATAGGGAGCTAAAAATAAGTTAGAAGTCAGCAGTTCAGTTCCTCAACACCTGCAGAACCGTGCATTGAAATGAACTCCTCTAAATAGACAAGCTTGGGTGGGTGGCCTCAGTGGTTTCTCTCTGCCGAGTGGAAGTGAATCACAATGTCTAGGGATTCAACATCTAGTGCCCCTGCGCTCACTTGTGTGCTCACGGTTGGAGAAAAACATCAGGCCACTCCCACTGTCTGTCCATCCAGTGGAGTGGACAGGCTCATAAGCCTGCTCTGCCTTGTGGTACTCGTGAAACTTGGAGGCTGAGGCCGACTCTCCCTATTCTTGTGTTGGGCTTCCTAGATAGGTGAAGGGTTAGCAGCTTGTAAGAAAGTGGGAAGAATGGAACTTTAGGAAGATCTGTTAGCTGTGCGTTTGTTTTCTCCCCTTAGTTAAAAAGATTGTTAGCATATAAAACACTGGGCTTCATTATGGCATCTTTATACATACATTGTGCTTTTCCTAAATCTGCTTGTATCCTTCCTTCCCTCAAATAGTTCCCTCCTTCTTCTTGTCAGACAGACAGGTGGGTAGATAGGAAGGTGGTGGGTAGGGAGGTGGTGGATGGGGAAGGTGCTGGATGGAAAGGTGCTGGATGGGAAGGTGGTGGATAGGGAGGCGGGTAGATAGGTTGGTAGATAGGTGGAGCTAGATTTTTCATTTGAGAGAAAATGAGGTATTTGTGTTTCTCCCCTGTTCCCTTGCTTGTTCCTTCCTTTTCCTTTCTTTTTCTTTTTTTTTAAAAACTAGATTTTTTAAATTTTTTATTTTTTAAAATAGTTTATTATTTTTATGTGTATGTGTGTATTGCCTGCATGTAGGTAAGTGCACCCATATGCGCCCGCCCATGGAGGACAGAAGAGGCTGTCGGATCCCCTGGAACTGGAGTTATGGACAGTTATTAGCTGCCGTGTGGGTGCTGGGATTCGAACCCAGGTCTTCTGCAAGAACAGCCAGCGTTTTTAACCACTGAGCCATCTCTCCAGCCCCCCGTTCCTTTCTTTGCATGACTCGCTGCCCCACGTCGTCTTTCTGTGTCCATGCCCAGCTATAGAGAAAACATATTGATTCTGGTTTATTTCACTTAGCACGATGAGCTCCAGTTCCATCTGTTTTCTTATACTGACGTAGCCTCATCCTTTTCTGCTGAATAAAGCTCCATTATGTGTATGTACCACGTTTGTCTGCGAATCTGAAGAGGCATCCGGACTTTGTTTAGCCCTCTGCACTTCAGTGGTCCACATAAGTACACTTACTTTGCAGGCCTAGTCACAAGCCTAAGGTGGATGGGGAGCTGGGAAAGCATGCTTGGGGCCGGGTGACCACAGGACTCGGTGCAGTTTCTAGCTGGAACCACTTTTCTGGTGCCATTAGCCTGTCTACCCTCTTGTTGGGCTTAATGGTCAGGAACTGGAATTGTGTTCATTGCTTCTCATTTCTTTTTTTTTTTTTTTTTTTTGTTTTTTTGAGACGGGTTCTCCCTATAGCCCCGGCTGTCCTGGACCTCACTTTGGGGCCCGGGCGGGCTGGAACCCACAGCCCCCCCCCTGCCTCTGCCTCCCGAGTGCTGGGATTAAAGGCGTGCACCACCACACCCGGCTTCATTTCTTCTTTTTGAAAAGACATTTGATTTATTATTTTTATTTTATGTGTATGAGTGTAGTGCTTGCATATAGGGTAGGTGTACCCGTGTTGTGCATTGTCTGTGGAGGTCAGAAGAGGGCATCGGATCGATCCCCTGGAACTGGAGTTAACTGGTTGTTAACTGCCATGTGGGTGCTGGGAATCAAACTGTGGTCTTCTCCAAGAGCAGCCAGTGCTCTTAATGGCCGAGCCATCTCTCCAGCTCTGCTTCTCATTTCTTAAGTGCACTAAAAGGTGGGTTTTGGGGTTGCAGTCCTGTCATTAACCCTCATGAGCAGACCTTGCGCAACCTCCTAGGTGTCTTTGCTTCCTTTCCCTTCCGTGTAAAACAAGACATACAGGGAGTGGCTTGGGTAATTTCTTGAAGCGCTTTCTGTCTCTCAGGTCTGTGGACTGTTACGTGGTCATCATCAGTGTCATGTGAGATTGTAGGGCAGAAAGCAAGTGAAATTCGAAGCAGAAGGATTTCGATAAGTGCACTGAAGCTTAGGCAGTGGGGGCTATCCTTGAAAAGGATCTCGGTGTTTAATGGAACCTCTGCTTTCAGCTGATGATTTCAGCTCTCAGGATAACCTTGATGACCCAGAAGCTGGTGGATGGGATGCTACCCTGACAGGGGAAGAAGAGGAAGAGTTCTTTGAGCTGCAGATTGTGAAACACCATGATGGAGAGGTAAATTAGGAACTGCAGAGGGTCAGATAAGGAGGAGTTTCCCCCAGCCCCTCAGGAGCCCTTTGGGATAGTTAGTGAAACAGTAGCTTCAGTGTATGTAAGGGAAAAGCCTCCATTCGACTTCCCGAGGCAGAGCTTGATCTTTGCATGTGGCCCCACCTGCCTTCTCTATTCCCCTGGTGAGGGATCTAGTCAGTGTGGACAGCGCCGGTTAACAATGATAGTGCCCATCTGGTGAGGGATCTAGTCAGCATGGACAGCGCCAGTTAACAATGATAGTGCCCACGTCTGTGCACTGTCCCCAACCTGGAGAGGTGGCACTCAATTCCTCTGAAGTTCAGGGAGCTAGAGGGCATAGGGGTTGGCATTTGCTTTGCAATTTCTTCATGAAAACTCTTTTAAAAAGGACAAAAAGCCAGGTTTGGTGATGTACACCTGTAATCCCAGCATTTGGGAGACTTGGACAGGAGGATTGTGAGTGCAAAGCCTGAGCTACATGGTAGGTAGTGCAAAGCCCTACCTCAAAAAAAAAAGCAAAAGAATTAATGAATACAGTATGGCAAAACCTTGATCTGATGGTTGAATCTGCAAAAAGGCTTAATCCTGGAGGTTTATACTCTAATTTCAAGTATGCTTGGGAGTTGCTTCCAAGGTGTTTGAGGAAGAAAAACAGGCGGAACTCCTGCTTTGCAGGAAAGATGTCACTTAGTGGTGGTCCTAGGATGCGAGCACTCACACGGGCAACCTGCGCTGCATCTGTAGGACAGCAGTCCTGCACCCCCTCTCACCCTGAGCCTGCCTGTGTCAGCTGTGACAAGATAGGCATAGGACCTCTTCACGTTAAAGTAGACCACGGGACAATGGCAGCTAATACAGTTTTGTGGTCTTGGGCTGAGAAAATGGACAAACTTAAATATGAGCTCTATAATCAGTAATGTATCATGGTGATGCTGGATTTCCTGGGTGTGGATTTGTCTGTAACTCACTCAAAAGTGATTCATAGGGGAAGCGGAGAGTGCCAGAGAAGCACTAAAGTAGAAAACAGTCACAGGGAGTCAGGGAACATGCACAGAAGTCCACAGTACTGACGTTCTTAAAGTTTTCTTGCTGTTTGAGCTTTGTTTTTGGTCTTTTTGAGACAGGGTATCCCTGTAGCCCCAGCTGTCCTGGAACTTGCTATGCAGACCAGGCTGGCCTTGAACTCACAGAGATCTACCTGCCTCTGCCTCCCAAGTGCTGGGATTAAAGGCGTGCTCCACCACGCCCAGCTTGTTTGAGCAATTTTAAAAATAAATAATTTGAGTTGTGGAGATGGCGCAGTGGCAGGTCTTGCAGAACACCCGGGTTCCCAGACGAGAGATTCAATGCCCCCTTCTGGCTTCTGTGGGCATTACACACGTGTAGTACATTTAGGCACATGCAGGCAAAACACTCATGCACATAAAATTAAAAATAAATAATTTCGGTGCTGGAGGGATGGTTCAGCGATTAAGAGCACTGACTGCTCTTGCAGAGGACCCGGGTTTGACAGATAACAACTGTCTGTAACTCCAGTTCCAGGGAATCCGATGCCCTCATCTGACCTCCATGGGCATTGCACAACACAGGTGCACTTATATGCATGCAGGCAAAACACTCTTACACATAAAATAAAATAACAAAACATAAAATATTTAAAAATAAATAATTTCACAGCAAGCAGGCCAGCTAATAAGGTGTCATACCCAGTACCTTGAGGTCTTAGGTGGCAACAGTCACATGCTCACATCCCATTTTGTTTTGGGGGAAGTTCTTGCAGGGAACTTCTTCCCAAGCCACGATGGTGTCCCTGAGAGGGTCTTTGTGTCTTTGGAGTAGAGAGCAAAGTGCTATCCTGCTATCTTGCCTCCTGCAGGTGAAAGCAGAGGCCTCCTGGGACTCAGCAGTGCACAGCTGCCCTCAGCTCAGTAAAGGCACACCTGCCGATGAGCGAGTGTTCCTCATAGTGCGTGTGACGGTCCAGCTCAGCCACCCTGCCGACATGCAGCTGGTCTTACGCAAGAGGATTTGTGTCCATGTTCATGGCCGCCAGGTGAGGCTTCCATCCTAGGCGCCCCGGGGACTAATCACAGGTGCGACTGTGGGCTGGCTGTGGAGCAACTGCTCAGATCTCTCCAGTCTGTGGAGTCACTTCCCGGGTACCTGTTGCTGTGTGTCTTGTCGTGTGGGTCATGTCCCTGTCCCCCACTGCATCAGTTCCTGAACACATCTCCTCCTCCTCTCTGGCTGTGTTCTTACAGGACTCCCAGGGCAGATTCATAAAGGAGTCCTGTCGGGGAAGTTCAGTGGCTTTGGGGTTGCCTGCTTTTCTGGGTCTTGCACCCTGAGAAGGTTCCTTGCAGATCATTTTTCTGTTCCTTAGCATGGGGCTGCTGACTCTTTTTCCAGTAGTCTTTGATTTATCCATTTGACTTTGGTGAGAAAGTGAATAGGAAATAGTTTGGGGCTTTAAGGAGCCAAAGTCCATTTGCATTTGGAAGTGCCTAAGCAGGTGCATCCACTGTACCTGCTGAGTGCTGGGGTACAGGTGCTCACTGCATGTGGGGACATTGTCATGATAACAGAATACAGACCACAGGACTGTCAGAGCTTGGAGGGGAAGATGGCATCTGAGCCATCACTTTATAGAACACTGGGTGGGGTGAGTGGCTGTTCCCTGCAGAGGAAATGCATATGCGGAGGAATGGAGGGAGGGAAGGAAGGAGGGAAGGAGGGAAGGGAGGGGAAGGAGGCAGAAGGCAGGCAGGCAAATGTGAGGCTGCGGGAGGTGGGTCCTGGGGTCCTTGTTGGCTGTGCTACCTCCCTTTCATAAGGCATTCTCAATATACTGGCTAAAACCAGTACAGATGGAAATAAATCTTCTCATTTGAAAGAGCACAGTCATGGTTGACAGACTTCTAGATGTAATCTCCACCCTAAAAATTAATCTTTAGTTCGAAATGTCACACTGATATCAATCTTTGAAATGAAGAGTGGCGGTAATGCTGTTAAAATTGCAGCTCTTTAGCTAGCCAGTCCAACATCAATAAAGTCTAGGTCACAGGGTTAGCTGTTCTCTGCCTCCCACCCTCTCCTGCTGTCTCCCTTTTCTGGGAAGTCTGGTGGGGATGGAGAGAGGCACGTTGCTCCCTAGGAGTATCTTGAAGGATGAGTTTCTATTTCTGACTTAGCCATCCTGGTCTTCAAGGCCTGTGTCCTGCTTGCCTGGCCACCAGCCCTGCAGTGTCCCCCACAGACAGAGCCTGCTGTGAAGTGGCCATGTTTCCATTTTGGTTTTGCTGGGAGCAGTGTGTTGCCCCATTTCATCCTGGTTGAAGTGATCCGATGGAAGTATTTCTTTAAGCCCTGGCTTGCCCCAATCTCAGATGCTTTATTCCTGAAAATTTTTTCTTCCTACAGAACAATAACGTATATGTGCAAGTCAGTGTCATTAATTCATGCAAAAAGTGAACAGCAGCTCTAGGTAACAGAAGTATCCATCCACATTCCCTCCACCAGCCACTCGGAAGCATTGGCTGTGCCCTGAGCGCCCTGACCCTGCCTGGACCTGGTTCTGCATCATAAGGCAAAGTGGAGGGAGGGAATAAATGGCTGTGTGTGTAGGTTAGGGGTCAGCCTCAGGGATCAGTCTGCAGGTGCTCTAAGAAGGTCCTTTAAAATTAGCTGAAGATCACTAGTAGGAAACAAACCATTCGGTAGGACTGTAAAATTAGGTATTTTTAATCCCAAATGGTCGTCTTCTTTCCTTTGGATTTTTCGTGCCTCCCCCTTCACCTCCTGCCTGTTCACTATTCTGTGTCCTTATCTTTATTCATCAGTTGCATTCCGCCCTCATTGCTGCTGTCTTCAACCTCTGCAGGATGTTCAATCTTCTCAGCATCTCCAAATGAGTCATCTATGCATTAATTCAACAGTTCAATTCCTAACTGTGCAAAGAGCGCAGTCAGCATAAACAATGACCAGGCACTCTTAAATCATTCCTCATAACGATCCTGCTTGGGTCGAGAACTGAATGCCAGAACTTGTCAATATTCACGGTGCGAGATGCCCATCGTGCTGGGGGAGGGAAGTGCAAGTGTCACCAGTCTTTGCTTTTCTCAGTGGGAAGGTCACTTTGCCGTCTTGTATCTTCTGTGGTGTGGACGCCGGGTTTAATCTATGCCAGGTGGCAGCTTGCAGACCTCAGTTGTGGACTTCCCACGCGTCCGTGCGGGACCGGCCACACCCTGCAGGCCTCAGTCAGGTGGTTCTGTGCATAAGACCCAGTGGAGGCGCTGCATTTGGTGATGAGGATTTTACGTGCTTGTGCGTGAAGTCTCTTTTCCTTGGCTCAGAGTGAGCAAGGTCCTTTGTGCCCCTCCCTCGTCAGCGGAAACAGTTGGTGAGCTGGGAAATGATGGCCTCTTGTTTTCCTCTAGGGTTTTGCTCAAAGTCTCTTCAGAAAGATGTCTCATCGAAGCTCCATTCCTGGCTGTGGAGTGACCTTTGAAATCGTCTCCAATATTCCAGAGGTGAAGGGTTGTACACAATATGAATTTACTAAAAATAAACACTTAAAAAAGCTAACTCCCAGACTCTACTAGATGAACTCGCATGAAGAGACTTCGGAGTACAAATGCTTGACCAGATAGGACTTAACACATATGACAGACTGTGTGAAAGCTGGTGAGGGGGCTTATGGAGAAGTGCATATGGGTGAGGGGCTCTAAATTTTATTAAGATCTATTATATGAAATGCACAAAAACTCAATAAAAAATTTTTTTTAAAGAAAAAAAAAAAAGCTAACTCCCTGAATAGTCACCTACCCAAGGCACACTTACTAAATGAAATGGCCCAGTAAGCTGGCTCATCAGTAAAGGCATTTGCCACCAAGCCTGATGACGCGAGTTGGGTCCCTGGAAGCCACATGGTAGAAAGAGAGAACTGACTCCCGAAAGCTGTCTGACTTCCACACACATGCCGTGGCATGTGTATGTGTGCAAAGATGCACAGATACTCACAAATTAATAAATATAAAAAAATGAAATCCCTACCTATGGGAATGATGTAGGTTTTTTGAGGGATTCTCTAATCTCAGCTGTTCGTATGATGCATTGTGGCTTTAAAAATTGTGGTTTTAGGGGCTGGAGAGATGGCTCAGCAGTTAAGAGCACTGGGTGCTCTTGCAGAGGACCTGGGTTCGAGTCCCAGCACCCACATGGCAGCTAACAACCATTCACAACTCCAGTTCCAGGGGATCCAATGCCCTCTTCTGACCTTCTCAGGCATTGCACAACAGGTGCACTTACACACCTGCAGGCAATGCACTAATATACATTTAAAAAAACAACAAAAAAGAATTCTGGTTTTAGTATTTTATTAAATAACTTTCTTTTTTTAAAAAAATTGTTTTTTTAAAATTTGTGTACGTGTATTGCCTGCATGTAGGTAAGTGCACTAGTGTCTTGCAATGCCCATGGAGGTCTGAAGAGGCTATCGGATCCCCTGGGACTGGAGTTACGGACAGTCGTTAGCTGCCATGTGGGTTCTGGGATTCAAACCCAGGTCTTCTGCAAGAATAACCAGTGTTCTTAACCACTGAGCCATCTCTCCAGCCCCAGAACTTTCTCTTTTTGTTTTTTGAGACAGGGTTTCCCTGTAGCCCCAGCTGGCCTGGAACTCAATCTGTAGACCAGGCTGGCCTCAATCTCACAGAGATCCACCTGCCTCAGCCTCCTGAGTGCTGAGATTAAAGAAGTGTACCACCTTACCAGGCTCTTTTTTAAAAAAGTAGTTTATTTACTTTGTGTTGGGAGGAGGGGGAGACTATGCTAAGGAGCACATGTGGTGGTCTGAGGCTGACTTTGGGGTCAGTGCTCTCCTTCCACCTTGTTTCCAGGCAGAGTCTCTCTTACTGTTTCTGTCTGTGTGGTATACTCCAGGCTGGCTGGCCCGTGAGCTTCGTGCCAGTTCTCTTATCTGCCTCCCATCTTGCCTGAGGAGTGCTGGGGTTACAGATGGGAGCCCCAGCATCCAGCTTTCTGTCGGGGTTCCTGGGATCAGAATCAGGCTGTCAGGCTTGTGCAGCAAGTGCTTTTACTGCTGAGCCATCTCCCCAGCCAAGAACACTTTTGAAAAGCAACTCAACAGCTTTTTATTTGTAGAAAATAACAATAACTATGGTGTTACTCACAGAGGGAAGAAACATAGTCCAATATAGAGATTTATGTTTGATGTGGTATCAGAAGTCTCATTTCTGTCACTTATTAGCTAAGTCAATTTGTTTAAGTGACCCTGAGTCTAAATTTTTTTATTTGTGAAATAGAGTTAATAATGCCTTCTGTACAGGTTGTTCTTAAGGATTCAGTGAGAGTGTGTATATAAGTCCACTGAGCACTAAGTAGTAGTTGCTGTTACTGTGATTATTAGTATTGCTACAGCTGTTTTGTTATTGTTACTGCGATTATTAGTATTGCTACAGCTGTTACTGTTACTGTGATTATTAGTATTGCTACAGCTGTTATTGTTACTGTGATTATTAGTATTGCTACAGTTTTTTTGTTATTGTTACTGCGATTATTAGTATTGCTACAGCTGTTTTGTTATTGTTACTGGGATTATTAGTATTGCTACAGCTGTTTTGTTATTGTTACTGTGATTATTAGTATTGCTACAGCTGTTTTGTTATTGTTACTGGGATTATTAGTATTGCTATAGCTGTTGTATCTTATTTCCTGAGATCTTTCCAAGAGTCAGTCAGATGGGCTTTGGATATCCCAATGGCAGCTTGTGGCAGCAGTATGTATGTGCTTCCTAACCACCCTGGGTGAGCTTTGTTCACTCAACTGAGACATCACAGTGTCCCTTGTATGGACAGGAGATGTGAAGGTTCTCAGAAGAGGACTCTGAAAACCTGACAGAGAAGTGCGTCCTTGTTCCAAACTCAACTATTAGAATGAGAGGAAGTAAAGATGGATGTTCTTGGAGAGAGGGAAGGGACACAGGAACTGGAAACCTAAGGCCCTCCTCACACAGCACAGTGTCTGTCATTCCAGGCCTCCGGGTTTGTGGGTTGAGTCTGTTGAGTGTTTAAAGAGTAGGTTGTCAATGCATGTTTTCATACAGAGGCCAGTGTTTAAAAAGGACATGAGTAGCCAGGCATGGTAGCGCACGCCTTTAATCCCAGCACAGCACTTTAATCCCAGAGGCAGGTGGATCTCTGTGAGTTCAAGGCCAGCCTGGTCTACATAGTGAGTTCTAGGACAGCTGGAGCTACAGGGAGACCCTGTCTCAAAAAGACCAAAAAAAAAAGGACATGAGTAGATGACACAGCATCTTGGTTTTGCTTTAGATTTCTTAAAAATGTTTATTTATATATATATTATATCTTATTTTTTACGTGTATGAGTGTATTGCCTACATGTACATAAGTGCACCCATATTGTGCATTACCCGAGGAGGTCAGAAGAGGGATTCCCCTGGAACTGGAGTTACGTATGGTTGTTAGCCACCATGTGGGTGCTGAGAATTGAACTTGGGCCCTCTGCAAGGGCAGTCAGTGCTCTTAAGAGCTGAGCCATCTCTCCAGCCCTTTCTTTATATTTTTATGTATATGAGTGTTTTGCCTGCTTGTATGTAAGTGCACCTGTGTCATACAGTGTCTGTGGAGGCCAGAAGCAGGTGTTGGTTTTCCTGGAACTGAAGGTATAGATGGTTGTTAGCCAAAATGTAGGGGCTGGGCACTGAACCTGGGTCCTCTAGAAGAGCAGCCAGTGGTCGTAACTGCTGAGCCATCTCTCCAGCCCTACTTTAGATTTCTTACAAAATCTAAACAAGGAAAACACTTGATTGTCTCTAAAAGCTTCAAATAGTAACTTATCCTTTCTTGGATTTTCAAGTGAGGCTTAAATAATAAATACTATTTAAGTATTTAACTTGAAGCCTCTTGAACATTTGAAAATTAAACTATTGCCAGGTGTTGGTACACATCTGCAGTTCTAGAACCAGGAGGCTGAGGCAGAAGGATCAGGAGTTTGAGGCTAGTCTGGGCTACTTAGTGAAACCCTGTCACAGACAGAGACAGACAAACCCTAAGGTCAATGCCCGAGGGTATAACTGTGCTAGAGTTTTTGTACAGCATGTCAGGTTTATTCCCCAGCAGCTGTCAGTCAGTCAGCAAGTAAACTCTTTGTGAGTTGGGCTAGCAAAAATCTTGGACCTAGAAATGATGCTCTGTTCTTCATAAGCTTTAAGAGGAAAGAATTGTGGGGGAATCAGCTTAAAGCTAAATATCCTTGTGTGATTAGATTGCTGATAATTAGCTAGACTTGCAAAGTTGGCAAGCATTATTTTCACATTATCAAATCCTGATGATCAAGAGAAAAAGTGAAATTTAAAGTTTATTTTGTAAAGACTAGATTTAAAACCTAAATGAAAACATCTTTTAATAAGTTTCATCTTGAAAAAGCCCCAAAATCCTCCTGTATTCCATGTCACAGAAGCCATTAGGAAGAAATGGTCCTAGGCCAGAGAGCAACAAGACAGTTTCTTCTTACAAAATTGGGATGATGTGCGTTCCCTTCAGACACTGAAGGTGTTTTGTGCCGGTGTGAGGAGACTCCCTCAGGACCTGGAGATCTAAGCTTTCTTCTCACCTCCTGTGCTCAACACCTGGCTTTTCACATGACACCTTTAAAATGAGGTTGATTCTGTTCCTGGCCATTGCAAGGCTTGAAGGAAGGACTGGAGGAGGCAGAGATTCTTGTGAACTGAAGCCATTTATAAACCCTCCCATATTTTATTTAAGATTCATTTACACTTAAATAAATCTTTGGTGTTGGAATGTCTTATAATTGATAGCTTCTTAAGATTGAAACATCTTTGAAGTTAGAATGTCTTATAATTGATAGTATCTTAAAATTAATTGACCATTTTTTCCTTGGTTGAATATATTATGTTTCTCCTGTAGTTGATAGTATTGAAAATGTACTGTGGAGCCAGACATGGTGGTGCACGCCTTTAATCCCAGCACTCGGGAGGCAGAGGGAGGTGGATCCCTGTGAGTTCAAGGCCGGCCTGGTCAACATAGTGAGTTCCAGGCCAGCTGGGGCTACAGGGAGACCCTGTCTTCAAAAGGCTTCACACATCCTGGCCAGATACTCTATCACTGAGCTCTGTCCCTGACCTGCGTTTTATTTTGACACAGGGTCTAGGTGCTTGAGCTACCCTTCACCTTGCATTCCTTCTGTCTCAGCCTCCAAGTAGCTATCACAGGCCTGTGCCACTAGGCCCAATTCATTTTATGATTTAAAATCTTTTATTTAGGGGCTGGAGGGATAGCTCAGCCATTAAGAACACTGGCTGTTCCTGCACAGGACCAGGGTTCAGTTTTCAGCAGCCCCATGGCGGCTAATAACTGTCTGTAACTCCAGTTCCAGGGGATCTGACACCCTTTTCTCTCCTCCTTGGGCATTGCATGACATGGGTACACTTAGATTCATGTAGGTATAACACTTATATGCATAAAGTAAAATAAACTAAAAAAAATTTTTTTTTTTTTTTTTGGTCTTTTTGAGACAGGGTCTCTCCGTAGCCCCAGCTGTCCTGTAACTCACTATGTAGACCAGGCTGGCCTTGAACTCACAGAAATCTGCCTGCCTCTGCCTCCCCAGTGCTGGGATCAAGGGAGTGTGCCACCACTTCTGGCATAAATAAAAATTTTTTAAAATGTTATTTATTATTTTTATTTTAGGTGTATGAGTGTATTGCCTGCATGTATGTAAGTTCACTGACTGTTTCATAATTTTGGGGGGAAAATGTATTTTGAGTTCTAAAAGCTGATGTTAAAGTGAAAATTTGGATTCCATTGAATTTGTCAGTTCAAAGCTCTGTTGAGGGGCTGGAGAGACGGCTTAGTGCTTAAGAACACTTACTGCTCTGTACGAAGACCAGAGTTCACATCCCAAAGTGCCTATCAGGTGGCTCACAACACTCGTATCTCCAGCTGCCAGGGATCTGACACTTCCTACTAGCCTCTGTTGGCACCCACAAACACATAAATAAGTCTTTAAAACAAATTTTAAAAAGAGTTTTGTTGGGGGCTGGAGAGATGGCTCAGTGGTTAAGAGCACTGGCTGCTCTTCCAGAGGACCCAGGTTTGGTTTCCAACACCCACATGGTGGCTAACAACTGTCAGTAACTCCAGTTCTAGGGGGTGCAACAACCTCTTCTGACCTCCATGGGCATTGCATGACACAGGTGCACTTACATCCATGCAGGCAGTACACTCGTACACATAAAAATAATAAAATAGTAAATAAAATATTAAAAAAAGTTTTGTGGGTGTATGTGTCTGTGTCAAGAAGCATCTGGAACATTTGCCTCAGTGTAGTTTTAACCGTATCATCTGTTCTCCAGGATGCCCAGGGAGTGGAGGAGCGAGAGGCATTGGCACGGATGGCAACTAACGTAGACAACACGGCTTCTGCTGCCTCCGAGGCATATATCGAGAAGTATCTGCGCAGCGTGCTGGCTGTGGAGAACCTCCTGACCTTGGACCGCCTTCGCCAGGTCTGTTGCATTATGGCTGGGCACCTACCCGGCCCGCTGCTGTACCCAACTTTCTAGAGTTTAGGATTGTAGCACCTGAACTTTGAAGAGTTCAGTGACCCCAGAATAACCCAGAGTGATTGCAGTGGGGACGTCTGTCTTGTCAAGTCATGGCTGTTAATTAAAGGATGAGGAAACCTGTTTGAACAGTGTTGCTTTGGGGCACATTTCTTAGCACATTTTCCTCATCCCAGGAAGTGGCAGTGAAGGAGCAGCTGACGGGGAAAGGGAAACTGAACCGGAGGAGCATCAGCTCTCCCAGCGTGAACAGAGTGAGTTGCTCACTGCCCGCCCCTCCCTGCTGGGTGCCGGGCCTCTTGTGTCTTGCCTGGGTCTCTCTCTTCCCCTTCATATCGACCTCAGCTGTCTCCAGCGTACCTGTGCTGGTTTAAGAGCCTGGTCCTGACTGCCAGGGCACTCGCTCTAGGACTGTGTACACACTGCTCATTTGTCCTCCGCAGTGTCGCCAAGCACACCTGAGGGGCCACGAGCACGTGAGGAGCTAAAACCCCGCTGGCTGCTTGCCCAGGGCAAGAATTCATTTTCTGGGTTTAAATGAATTATTTTTTAAAGTGGGAAGTCTGGAGTAGGTTTGTGACTTGCACTGAAGGCCATCTAGGTAGTATGAGTGAGAAAACAGGTGGTAGTTCACAGCCCTGGCTGAGGGCTGCTGATTTTAATTTGTTTTATTTATGTATCTATATTTGGACTTTTTTTGAGTCAGCGTCTCCCTGTAGCCCCAGCTAGCCTAGAACTCACTATGTAGACCAGGCTGGCCTTGAACTCACAGAGATCTGCCTGCCTCTGACTCCTGGGTGCAGGGTGCCTGGGATTAAAGGCATACACTACCACGCCCAACTAGGACTGCTGATTTTAAAAACACAGGTACAGTGATGTGCATATTAAACATGGGGTTACTTCTTGAGTGTACCTGTGGCTCCTGAACATATCTGTCCACCTCATTTCTTTTTGTTTTGTTTTTTGAGACAGCATCTCACTACGTAGCCCAAACTGGCCTGGAACTCACTACGTAGAACAGGTTGTCCCTCCATCTCAGAGTTCTGCCTGCCTCTGCCTCTGCCTCTGCCTCCGCCTCCGCCTCTGCCTCCCGGGTGCAGGGTGTATATCACTACACTTGTCCCTGTTCTTCATTTCTGGTAAAGATTCAGATATGAAGACTAGTGTACTGCTGTCCCAACTGCACAAGGAAGATTCAGGGCGCAGGCTTGTAGGAAAGAGCAGCTGCTTCTAGCCTCAGTGTATATTGACATATCAGAGATTTGGCATTTGAGGTCCTATAGTTTAAATAGTTTATGACTTTACCAATCCTCAGAGAAGGGGCTCAGGCCATGTAAGATCCCAGCAACCTGGCCTCCTTAATTGGAAGGGGGCCCAGTGAGGTGTCGTCACCTCAGTGCATGCTGACACCCAGACCTGATGGGAAAGTTGCTGGTAACCTGCCTCGTGGTTTTCCAGTCTTGAAGACCACTGACTGCAGCCTCAGTCCTTATGGCTACCGTTGCTTCCAGCTTGATTTGTCTTTTTGAGATGAAGTCTCACTATGTTCTTCTGACTAACCTGGAATTGGCTATGTAAACCAGGCTAGCCTGGTCTCACCATGATCTTCCTGCCTCTGTCTCCAAAGTGCTGGGATTATAGACATGTGCCACCAGGCCCAGCTTGATGTGGTTTTCAAAGTGGGGATCCTTGTGGCGCTCTCATGCTTTACACGTTGAGGACTAACTCCCTTTTTTTCTTCCCAGTTGTCTGGAAGCCGACAGGAGCTTAGCCCGTCACCCAGTCTAGGCAGCAACAAGGTGAGTTTGTAATGATTTGTCAGCCTCCCACTTACTTCCCGCCATCTTTCTTCTTCTCAACCTCTGGGCTTTTTCATGTCCAAGGTCTTCCTTCACATCTGAACTCTGCCACATTTATTGGAAAATGTTCTGAGTTCATTTATCTTAATCTGCCACTTAGATCTACCGCACCCTCTTATTACTGGGATTTAATTTTATAATAGTGAATCATTGATATAATAAAGAATAAGAAAAGTATACTTAAAATTAATATTGTTTGTTAGAAAAAAAGAAAATGGGTTGTAGAGATGGCTCAGTGTTAAGAGCACTGGCTGGTCTTGCAGACCTGGGTTCTAATCCTAGCACCCACGTGGAGGCTAACAACCATCCATAACTCCAGTTCTAGGGGATCTGACACCCTCTTCTGTCCTCCACAGGCAGTGCATGACACGGGTGCACTTCCACACATGCAGGCGTAACACTCGTACACATAAAATAAAATCAAATAAAACAAAGGGCACATAGATTTCCCTAGCTAGAGTTTATTTTGTAGTTTACTTTGTCCATGTGACAGAGTTTTAAGCAAATAGAAACTCATTGTTTTCTTAAAAAAGGTTAATGTGGGGCAGGAGAACAAGAGCTCAGCTCTTGCAGAGTATCTGGGTTCAGTTCCCGTCACCCACATGGCTAAAAACTGTCTTAACTCCAGTTCCAGGGTGTCTGGTACCTTCTGATTTCCATGAGCACTGCATGCATGGGTGCACTTACATACATGCAGGCAAAACACGCATACACATAAAAAAAGGTCCGCACACCTTGCAGCTGACGTACTGGGTATTACACATTACAGTTTGTGCCTGTCACTTTCCAAGGTACCTGGCTAGGTGTGGGTGCTAAGGCCTGGGCGTAGCGTGCTGTGCGTTGTCATTCATGGCAGTGTGATGAGGGGTTGCTTCAGAGTAACTCAGTATAGAAAAAAGAAAGATTGGCTGATTACTGAGAAGTACCGAGGCTGTTGATTATACTCTTATTTGTTGTGTTTGACCTTTTCTTTATAAAAATTTAAAGACTATGCCAGGCATGGTGGCACACGCCTTTAATACCAGCACGGAGGGGATCTGACAGCCTCTTCTGTCCTCCATGGTCATTGCACGACACGAGTGCACTTACCTACATGCAGGCAGTACACGCATCCACATAAAATGAAAATAATATTTTTTTAAAAAGACTATTGAAAACAAATCAATTAGACTCATGTATAAGATCTAGGTCACTGTCACCTTTTCTGAAATCTTACACACACACACACACACACACACACACATAAATGTACTCATACACATATAGTTGCACATACGTACTTGCACATACATGCACATGTACACACACTTGTACATGCATGCATATATGCACACACAGACATATAAACTGCTGGTAGCTGTTCAGTTAGTGGATGATCGGTGTGGACATTGGTCTCTATAAAAGGTGCTGTGGTTTAGTGCTCACATCAACCCAATGATAGGTTTGATTCGTGCAGCTTAGCACAGGTTGTATTTATATGAAGGAAGCAGAGTTTTGGAAACTTTATTATATAGTGATTTTTAAATATGAATAAAGAAACTATCTTAAGGGAAATACACTTGGTACAAAAAAATTGACTTTCTGTGATTTGGGGGCAGTGCTTCTATATCCCTTGTAAGAAGAATTTCTGTCTTTCTGTCTCCTAACTTTCCTTATCTTAAAGTGGAGACAATAACAGCCAGTAATGATTTCTGCCTCAGAGAGCAGGGCTGTCATCTGTACCAATAAAGAGGACATAGGTTCTGCTCTGGAGGCCAGCACAGACAGAAGAACCACACGGTGGTGCCTGCTCTCCAGCCATCCTGCAGGGATCCTGTGGGGTTACAGTGAGGTGGTGACCCTGTGTGGAGTCCCGAGGGTGGTGCCGTGGTGCATACAGGCAGGTGGGAAGCCAGGCAGAAATGCCAGCATGACCCTAGACACGGGGTAAATAGCTGGCCCCACAACACCTGTGGTGTGGAACCCAGGGACAAGGAGCTTGGCTCGGATATCCTGAATCACTTCATGTAACAAGGACTAGTGGGAATTGGAGTTGGACTGCATAGTTTGCCTAAGTGATCTGGCTGCGCCCCACCCACCCCTGTTCCTGATACGGTATGTAGGATGCACCAGAGTGCTGTATGCTGTTATCAGCACAGAGGCGGGAAGGCTTGTCGGATTAGAGGGTGGAGAGATCAGTGAGGAGAGAAAAGAACCAGTTATACTGAGGAGATGGACTCGGGGATCCTGTGGACAAGAAGGAGGAGACAGGAGGGAGGGGACTAGGTAATGCTCTGGGTGACCTAGAACTCTATGTAGACCAAGCTGGCCTCAAACTCACAGAGACCTGCCTGTTTCTGCTTCTCCAGTTCTTGGATTAAAGGTGTGGGCCACCATGTGCGTCACCATGCCTGGCAGTCCAGCAGCATCTAAATTTTGTGACAACAGGCTGATCATTGAGAAACTGACTGGGAGGAGTCACTCAATTTCTAGAGGTTTCTCAAAATTAAAACCAGAGGTAAAGTCAGGTTTGGGATCCTGTGGACAATTGAGACAGTGGGAAGGATTTAGGCACAGTGGGAACTGAAGGGGACTTAAGAAGGAACCTCATAAAGAAAGATGGCCGTGTGTGTGCGTGTGCGTGTGCATGTGTGTGTGCGTGCGTGCGTGTGTGCGTGTGTGTGTGTGTGTGTGTGTGTGTGTGTGTGGTGGTTATGTTTATGCAGGACCTTGCCAGACTCTTTGGACACAGCATTTAGGATGACCAGCAGGGCTATACGGGATGACATTGCATGACTGCACTTGTCCAGGGCTGCTTCTGCCAAAGTTGGGAGAAGTCAAACCGAGCTCTTGGCAGGCTGTGTCATGCTGCAGAGGGAACACTGTTTTTATTACTGTTTTCTTTTTGGTTCTCTTTTTT